CCACTCTATGTTAAGTGTAGCAGGTGAACTGAATGTCATCACATTTCATTTTTCCTTCTCTTACAAACCTAGAGATGCGACTAATAAAACAAGGCTGTTGGCCAACCCAGTTTGATAAGCAGTGAGATGCAAAATATCAATAGGTTGCTTGGTTGTAGTATGCCTTACCTGAGATTAAAGAATAATAATTTATTATTTTAGTCTTCTTATCATGGTGTCATTAAGTCAATCTTCAGTCAATAGAAGATGATCTGGAGAATCTCCCTCCCTACCCCCCACCCCCTGCACACACCTTTTGAAATCCAAATGTAGTATGTAGAAGGCAGTAAAATTATCTGAGAGAGGATTTTTATATTTTGGACCCCTCCCTTTTAAAAATGCTGGATCCACTCTTGCAAATGATATTAAAACACTAGGAAAATAATTCCCAATATCCGACTTGTAATTTATTGCTTTTGATCAATGTGAATGCAAGCTGCATAAACATTTTTTCCAATCAGTGAATTCACTTCTCTCCCAGGGATGGCTCATACCCTATGCAGAGTTGTATCCCTTGATTGTGCAAGGATCTGCAGATCAAGGGTTCAAATCCCTGATTAAGATCCTTGGGTTTCACTAAATGGTCAACATCTGTGTCACTCTAGGCTGGGGCGATAGGGTTGTGGGTAGCCTAGTGGTTGGATTCCCCACATGGGAAAAATGTATGAAGCCAATTTCTGGTGTCCCAAGACATATAGTGCTGGAATATTGCTTTAAGCAGCGTAAAACCATACTCACTCACTTACATTCTTTTCCTCCTTTTCCTCACAAAAAGCTGATACGTCACTATGATGGAACGAGAATACTGTTACAACACAAACTAACTGACTGACTGATGGACTGTAACCACTTTGTGTGTTATCACAGCAGTAACACTTTGTCATCATGAAAATTGCTTCACATTGGGACCGCCTCCGTGGTCTAATGGTAGGGCGTCCGCCCGGAGAGCAGAAGGCCGGGGTTCGATCCCCAGCCACGTCATACCAAAAGACGTTAAAAGATGGTACTTGTTGTTACCCTGTCTGGCGCTCGGCATTAAGGGGCTAAAACAAGGACTGGTCGGCTCGGAGTCAGTATACTGTGTCCGAGTGGGGTATTCATGGTAAACTGCGGCATGGTGTCTCAGTGTGCTAGCACTATAAATTGGCATCAGTCCGGACTAGTACAAGCAGCCACACACACACACACATACATGTGCATGCATGTCGCTATATAAGTGCAATAATCTTGGGACGCGACGTTAAACCCCATTTCACCTCACCTCACCTGCTTCACATTGAAAATTAGTAACTGAGTATACTGGTATACATTTGCTCATGAAGTACCACATTGACATGTGGATTAGATAATAAATACATACCAAAAAAACCTAACAAATATTAAAATAACAGTGAATTTTTTAATAATAATTAATTCAAGGAAATCGACTTACAAGAGAACAAAGTCTACTCAGAAGTCGATTTACTGAACAAAATGGTTGTGAATATTTATGGGGACATTTTTATGGACTTGTGTGCTCAGTCTCCTCAACAAAAAAATATCCCCCAAAATATTCATGATCTCTGCCTGAGAATATTTTTTTCATTATTCATTTACGTTTCTGTAAATATATACTCAACATCCTCTACAGTAATGTGCAATTGTACAGTGGTAAAAGAGTGAGTGAGTAAATGAGTTGGGTTTAACGCCCCTTTTAACAGTATTCCAGATATATCACGGTGTGTCAGCTTAATGCGGGAGGAAACCCCGAAATGATGCAGGTCTCAGATCACTTCGGTGAAACCCACGGGCACGGGTATGGTGCTGACAAACCTAGAAACATAATCGAAGCAAACCTGGATTCGAACCCACAATAATAGGTTTCTGGCGTGCCCAAGGGATGCAACTCTGCACAGCGAATCGCGGCACCTTAGACAACTGGGCCACCGGTGTCCCCCAGTGGTAAAAGAAGGAGGTGCAGTTGTGAAGCAGTATTTCTTGTAAATCATGGCATATCATCTTCAATCCCATTGAAACCCGATCTTTCACTCTGACACGATCCCTTTCTGCCTGAAGATCTGAGGACACCTCCAGGGAAGGTGGTACCAGGCGTGTCATCAGCGAACCTGGAATGCCCAATCTAAAGGAAGGATGTATGGGATCTTGGACCAATCAGGTGTCAGCTCTCTCATTTATTTGGCTTCATTTCTTTATCTCAGTTCAGAAACTTAGATTTGAAAAAAGGAAAATCCACACAGAACACTACATTGTCTTTGAAGGTTATTCCTCAGGGTGTTTTGTTTATCTGTTGTTTAACACAGCACTCAGCAATATTCCAGCTATATGAGGGCGGTCTGTAAATAATTGAGTCTGGACCAGACAATCCAGTGATTGACATCATGAGCATTGATCTATGCAACTGGGACACGATGACATGCATCACAGGAGTCCGTATCTAAAAATAGACGCCCTCATGCATATTCATGACCATCTCCACACGCGAGCCCGAAGGGCGAGCTCGCGTGTGGAGATGGTCATGAATATGCATGAGGGCGTCTATTTTTAGATACGGACTCCTGTGCATGCATCAACCAAGTCAGCGAGCCTGATCACCCGGAAAAGTTCACCTGATGCTACCTTCTTCGCAAGCGTCCTCAGATCTTCATGCAGAGAAGTATCGTAACAGAGTAAAAGATCTGATCTGATCAGCGGATCCTGGTGTGGCAAAGTGAGATTCTGCCGCAGCACCCTCAATGAACACTCCATCACTCGCTACGGATGGAGCAATATATGCAATTGTATAATATGTCAAGACAACCACAACACAAATCCAAGTACATTTACATTTGTATATGCGAACCTCTACACCATTTACCAAGAAGTCAAACAGAATAGTGCATATTGAAAGGCAAAAGAACGTAATTTTGAGTGATATTTGACTGAATGTATGGAAAAATCGAACAGATGTTTTGATGTACAGAGAAGGATAGAAATGTGTTTTGTGACCTGAGCTGGTTCCACAAATTATCTTAGTGCTAAGATGATCGCAACTCCCTAGCTTTAACAAAGACTTACGACTTAGTGCTAAGATCATTTTATGAAACGGGGCACTATTCAGCATTGGTTTCCCACACTATGACCTTTGACATCCATGCTTTGTACAGTTTTGAGCAAATATTAATTTATTTTCAACGCTTTGGTAAGATATAGGGGAGGCTCATCTGTAGAAGAAAACATACCTCTCTATTTAAAAAAACTAATAAAAGTACATAGTATACAGTATATCGCCATCAAAAGGCGAGTTTTTCGTACCTACAATTAGTGTGGTATGTAGGGGGTTGCCCTATACACAGGGTAGAAGATCTCACATTTTTTCCTAGCTGTATCACTTTCAGGTTCCTCTAGCGACGTCAACCAGTGTTTGTTACCCGTCACGATGATGTTTGACAGTAAAACTTTGCATTTCGCCAAATATAAGTGTTCCACAAACTTTTTTTTTATATAAATACCAAGTGCATCGGATTTCCTTGTTCATACTATATATTTTTCTGCAAATATAGTTTAAATGATCCTTGCCTTGATCTAGATTGCTGAGCCAGTCAACAAGGTGAAAAAAAATCAATATCCATCACTAGAGAGCCAGTAGCTTCAATTTTATCAAAATCAATGTTTACTCTGATGTACAAAACCTCTCTGAGGACACCTCCATTGAAGGTCCTGTCAGGTGAACCCTGAATGACCTTTGACCTGCCAATCTAAAAGGAGGTGTGTGGGTTCTTGAACCGATCAGATGTCAGCTTTCTAAAACAATTTGGCTTAATTTCTTTACAACCTCGATTGTGAAATTTCAATCTTACCAGAAGAAAACCAACACAGAACACAAATATTCCTGTGATTGTACTCCCTTTTGGTTGTAAATGCCACGGAGCTCAGAAACACAGGGTGTATGAAATACCCACAACAACATAATAGCACCACCTTGATTATTTCCACTCCGAACTGCCCATTGTTTTCAAATGTGCCTCTCTGAAAGCTTTTCTTGCTTTAACAGATAATTATGAATCCTCACCATTAACTGGCAGGTCATCTTCCTGAGGCAAGGGAGTGAACTGACTATAAAAATCAATTTTCCACCCTGCCGAACCAGGCTGGAATTATGTAGTTGGGTTTTGACTTGAATAACGACTCTGTGCAAAATCCCATCAAAATTGTATAACAAAATTAACAATCAACAAGATTTCGGTCAAGAGCAAGATTTGCAAAGCTGTACTGCTAACTCAGCATCAACAGATATTTCCCAAATATTTTCATGTTTTTCATCAAGGTGCTCACCTTATCTGATGCACTTCGTGAAGTAAGACAATATAGATTTTGATAATCGATCAGATCGTCTTGACTGGATCACTTTTATTTTGCTTGAAGCAATCTGATTGGTCAATAGGAGGGACATAGAAGGGACATAACTCCTGAAAGCAACTGGTGGCGCTATGATTGAGCCAAGAAATTCCAGCCTAGTTCGGCAAGGTAGGAAACCAGACTTTTATAGTCGGTTAACTCCCTTGCTTTGGGAAGATGTTGGCAGGTTAGAAAGTTCACCCGAAACAACCTGCCATGGAGGGCTTGGGACATCTTCAAGAAAAGATACTGGATACTGGAGCATACTTCAAGCATAGATACTGGAGTAAAAGAATAAATTGAAAAAGGTTATAACTACAAGTCATCTCTTTGTTCACAACTGAATTCTGATGCATTGGCTTTCTGCTGAATCTCTATACTGCATTACCATATTCGTCATAATAAGAAATAGGGGGCTCTTATTAGAATATTATTTTGTCGAAAAAAACATAGTTGAAAGATAAATTCCGTGGTTTATGCTGACAGCCTGAAATGTTTATATACGAGAGATATATTGTTCCAGAAATTAATTGCCCATAATTTTTTAAGGGTGCATATAACACACGAGTGCGTATTATACGCGAATAAATAAGTATTGTGTACATTGATCAAATGGAAAGGGTGCTAATTGGGATTGTTCACGAGCCAATATATTAGCAAATATCGCCGTTGGCGCTTATTAGAGCAGGGCGCTTATTACGTTGAATATGGTATATCAGTAGTACATGTAAGCTCACAGTTTCTCTCTTTGTATTTGTTTGTTGTTTAACATCACACTCCAGCTGTATGACAGTGGTCTGTAAATAACTGAGTCTTGACCAGACAATCCAGTGATTGACATCACAAGCATCGATCCATGCAATTGGGATTGATAACATGCATCAACCATGTCAGTGAGCCTGATGGCCCGATCCCGTTAGTTGCCTGACAAATGTGGGATGCACTGTGACAACTTTGTGCATGTTATCCTAGAGAATCGAAAACGGGATTATGACCGTTTCCATGGTAGGGGTGTATAAGATTGAAGAATTGTATACGCTGTGCTTTGGCTAATCTGCAGTATATGAATAAGTGTTCATATATATCCAATGAGTCCTCTGGCGCATGTAGATTATGTACACGTCGATGCTGTTACTACTGTTTTATCCCAACAGAACCAGACACTGGGCATATATTCACCCAAACAGTTTCATCAGAAGGCACAGTTGCTGTGTCTAGGCAGCAGAATTGGTTTGACGGCGACCATGCTGAAATGAAGTAAAAGAATTGCAATAACAGCAAAATGTCAAAATTTCATTATTTATTGTGAAAAGTGTAACATGATCATCTCCCATATTAAATATTGAAATAATATATGTCATATTTCAGACTGTCATAATGCATTGCAGTGTTCACAATACATTGCAATACAATTTTTCTGTTTAGTTACTCTGTATATGAAATATATCATAACAGCTGGCCAGAGTAGATTGTTTTCTGCCAGCATCAGATATCTGACATTTATGATATTCCAACAATGTTTACAAAATGTTAACTACCTCTTTTTAATTTTTCCTGGCTTTATTTGATCTTTGGCGAATGTGTTGTCGTTGAGTATTAATATATAATAATATATTGTTTTGTTGGTTGTAGGGCACAGGTGGCCCAGTGGTCTGAGAAAGAGCTGCAAGTCACTTTGTAAAGTTGCCTTCCTTAGTCATGCCAGGAGCTGCTGGTAATGGTTCAAAACCCAGATTGGCTCTGATTATTATTCAAAGTGTTTACGTCACCTTTATAAACAATTATACCTTTTAAGGTCGTTTTCTCATCTGCTACCCCACTTTAAGATTCTGGAGTAGAACTAGTTCGAAATAACCTATGCTTGTCATAAAAGGTAACTTAAATTGATCAGGGGTCAGATTTGGTGATTTTGTTGCCTGCCCTGACAACCTGGGACATTGAGCATTGTATCAACCACTAGTTTGTGTGGTCCAGACTTGATTATTTAAAGGCTGCTGTGATATAGTAGATACAATTGAGTGTGGCATAAAACAACATTCATTATCGTATCCCCTTCTACACTTCCTTTTGGAATCCTCATATAGACTGGTTCCTGGCATGCCTTGTGCTCTGACATCTTGAATGATGGAATGAAGGAATCTTTTCATGATCAATTTCACTATGTTTCAAGGTTTGTCAGCACCATACCCGTGCTCGTGGGTTTCACCGAAGTGGTAAACGTCTGAGGCCTGCATCACTTCGGGCTTTCCTCCCACATTAAGCTGACACGTTGCGATATAATTGGAATACTGTCAAAAGCGGCGTTCAACCCAACTCACTCACTCACACCCTTTTAGCTTAATGATGTAATATGAGATCCCTAACCACCATCAGTAATCATCTCCTTCCGAAATATAAATGCATTTACCTTCAATCTTCTTTCCGGTGGTTTCTGGTATAATGGTCTTGGCACTGCAAACTGGAAATAAGGCATTATACACTGTAAGTCAGATTGCAGTATATTGTCAGACTCTAATAAAATAAATGTGTGATTCACTCTAACCGAATGAGGCTTAATAATTGATAATTTTATATGATTTGTGAACTTGATATGTTAGTCTTCAAACATGACCATCCTTACTGCGTATCTGCTCATACACATGAAAGGCCACTGTATAATCACAGCATACAGTACAGTTCTTCAGTTGTTTTTTACCATGTATTGTCTATGCATGGAGATCCTCACCTGGCCTTTCCTGAAGGGGTCCAGCGTGTTGAACATATTCTCCCAAGAATAGTTGGATCGCTCATTTCCCTGTCCTGCTGAAAAATGGTTACAGTCAAACCTCTTATATCTGGAGTTACATAACAGTTTTATGTACAAGATGATATACAGTAGAACCTCCTTTTTCTGGACAGTTACACAACAAAACGATGGTCTGAATAAGGTGATATACAGTGGAACCTCCTTTACCTGGACAGTTACACAACAAAACGTTGGTCTGAATAAGGAGATATACAGTGGAACCTCCTTTACCTGGACAGTTAGACAACAAAACGTTGGTCTGAATAAGGAGATATACAGTGGAACCTTTATCTCGACAGTTACACAACAAAATGTTGGTCTGAATAAGGTGATATACAGTGGAACCTCCTTCATCTGGACAGTTACACAACAAAACGTTGGTCTGAATAAGGTGATATACAGTGGAACCTCCTTAAACTCGACAGATACACAACAAAACATTTGTGTGAATAAGGTGATATGCAGTGGAACCTCCTTAAACTCAACAGTTACACAACAAAACGATGGTCTGAATAAGGTGATGTACAGTGGAACCTCCTTTATCTGGACATTTACACAACAAAACGTTGGTCTGAATAAGGTGATATACAGTGGAACCTCCTTAAACTCGACAGATACACAACAAAACGTTTGTCTGAATAAGGTGATATGCAGTGGAACCTCCTTTATCTGGACAGTTACACAACAAAACGATGGTCTGAATAAGGTGATATACAGTGGAACCTCCTTTATCTGGACAGTTTCACAACAAAACGTTGGTCTGAATAAGGTCATATACAGTGGAACCTCCTTTATCTGGACAGTTACACAACAAAACAGTCTGAATAAGGTGATATACAGGGGGACCTCCTTTATCTGAACAGTTAGACAACAAAACATTAATTGGCCTGAGTAAGGTGATATACAGTGGAACCTCCTTAAACTCGACAGATACACAACAAAATGTTTGTGTGAATAAGGTGATATGCAGTGGAACCTCCTTAAACTCAACAGTTACACAACAAAACGATGGTCTGAATAAGGTGATATGCAGTGGAACCTCCTTTATCTGGACAGTTACACAACAAAACGATGGTCTGAATAAGGTGATATGCAGTGGAACCTCCTTTATCTGGACAGTTACACAACAAAACGATGGTCTGAATAAGGTGATATACAGTGGAACCTCCTTTATCTGGACAGTTTCACAACAAAACGTTGGTCTGAATAAGGTAATATACAGTGGAACCTCCTTTATCTCGACAGTTACACAACAAAACGGTCTGAATAAGGTGATATACAGGGGGACCTCCTTTATCTGAACAGTTAGACAACAAAACATTAATTGGCCTGAGTAAAGAAGCTAAACAGTGGAACCTCCTTTATCTGGACAGTTACACAACAAAACGATGGTCTGAATAAGGTGATATACAGTGGAACCTCCTTTATCTGAACAGTTAGACAACAAAACATTGGCCTGAATAAGGTGATATACAGTGGAACCTCCTTTATCTGGACAGTTACACAACAAAACCTTGGTCTGAATAAGGTGATATACAGTGGAACCTCCTTTATCTGGACAGTTACACAACAAAACATTGGTCTGAATGAGGTGATATACAGTGGAACCTCCTTTATCTGGACAGTTACACAACAAAATGTTGGTCTGAATAAGGTGATATACAGTGGGACCTACTTTATCTGGACAGTTACACAACAAAACATTGGTCTGAATGAGGTGATATACAGTGGAACCTCCTTTATCTGGACAGTTACACAACAAAATGTTGGTCTGAATAAGGTGATATACAGTGGGACCTACTTTATCTGGACAGTTACACAACAAAGCATTGGTCTGAATAAGGTAATATACTTTGGAAACTCCTTTATCTGGACAGTTATGCTACAAAACATTGACCTGCAAAGCATCATATACAATGCAACATGCTTGATCTGGACAGTTACACTATATAACAGTGGAACCTCCTTTATCTGAACATCCAAGCAAATTTTCAGCATCATTTACCATATCTTGTCAAATATGATGTAAAAATTGTGAAAGTGTGTGACAATCAATAGATGAATATTTCACAAATTACCACAAAATTCTTTACTGTATAACTGGTTTGTACACATACCTGTGTGAGGGTGGGAGGGGAATGCATTACCCTCACGGGAACATGAATCTCGAACATCTTGTCTTGGAGGAACATTACGCCATGACTTGTGTCGGATACTACTCTCCCCGCTGTCCTGGGACCCGGCCTCGGAGAGTGTGTGTGGAGAGTACATCATGTAGCGAGAAGCACCAAAGTTTCCCTTGGTTGGTAGATTACCAGTGAAGGCACTTCTAAAGGCTTGGTTGTCACTACAACAGATATCATCAATGAATGTCTAAAGTTGTGCACAATAGGGAATGTTTCTTGTCTCCCAATCCAACATATTATGGGATGAAAAGACTAATGCTTAGTTTTGAAAATATATACCGGTAATTGGGATAGAAACAAACAACTTCATTTAAATTGAAAAGGAGCCCCAGTGAGATGGGATAGTCAGACCTGTTTAAAATCTAGACTTGCTTCATTTAGGGTTGTAGCATTTATGTAAGTGCTGGGCAGGAAAATAATAAGGTTCAGGGACTGATAGACAGACAAGGCCAAGCCTTTCATCGTTATTTAAGCCTGCAAACAGCCTGCAAATAATCAAGTCTGGACAAGACAAACCAGTGATTGATCTTGTGGACAACAATCCACACCACTGGGGTACAATGACATATTAATCAACCAAGCCTGACCATCTGTCAATTTAGTCGCCTCTTACAACAAGTATATAGTTTGGTGAGTAAGAATTATTCGAGAAATGGATGGATGGAAGGAACTAATGAGAAACCAACATAAAACGTTAAGAATAATCAGTCTCAATTATCTGCCCAACCAGAAGCCATTTGGCATAAAAGGCAGAAGAGTGATGAAAACGATATGAACAGATCACTGAAAGTCAGTGATGACACCAGGTGTTCGTGACAGGGGTAAGCATCTCCTGCTTCACTGGTAGCACCTGCCATTTTAAAAAAGAGGTAAATGATTGTTTGTTGCCTAACACCGCACCCAGCAATACTCCTGCCATACAACGGCAACCTGTAAACAACCTGGACCAGACAATCCAGTGATCAGTAAGTATCATGAGTACCAAGTCATTGCATTACGACACCACGCTGTTACCAAGCCGGACCACTCGATCCATTACAGTTAGCAGTCAGTAAGGAGGCGTGAAAACTCGCTGAAAGGTCATTGTAAGGGATAGCATCGCCTTTCATGTTGACAAGCAACGTGTCATATTTAGTACCGGTATATTCCTCTGAATGCCTACCATAATAAATTCTGGAATGACTTTACCAGGATGATGAATACACAAATGAATGAAAGCACATAAATCTCATGGAAATAGTATACTCGGAGCTGGAGATAAGCTGCGTATTTGTGTAAAATAAGCATTAAAAAAACTGAAATACGCAGACAAATAAAATCCTAGGCTATCAAATACGCAGGAAAAACTATAAATACGTTCTTGAAATAAAATTAACGCGTATATTACAACTATTAGTACAACTGTTAGAAAACATGATTGTGTATCAGCCGATTGCCAAATTCACTTACCTATAGTTACATTCGGAAAAGCTTGTGCAACAAACATACTGATAGATGCAAATTGTAATACCCAAATAACAAAATGCTTATTTAGTGCTCTGAAACTCACTCTGGTGGAGCTGGTGTCTCCTTCCTCTGTCTCCAGCAGCAGCAGTAGAGGAGGACAGTGAGACAGACCACCAGTACAAGAACAGTGGGGACGGTCACACCCACCACCACAAGCATCCTCACACCAGAACCAGCTGAAATCATTTCCAGTTTAACCAATACTATTTATGTTGTGATGCTACACATTAGTACATATATGGAATTTTCAATTATGTGGTGGACAAAAGATGTACAAAAAAATAATATCTATATCTAAACAAATATTCAAGATTGAGAAGACCTTGTCATATCTTATTACATAGTTGCATGTACACGTAAGAGTGAATATTATTCTGCCCTATTTTTTATCCCCGGGATGAAATTCTCTAGTGTCAGGATGATTCTCCCTTGTGAATTTACACCCATACCAGTGTGTTTAATCCTATCCTATACTATACTCTAGAGTAAAACTTCCCCCGGGATAATATTTAGGTAGGATATAATCCTTGCTTACAGGACACTGTGCAGTCCATAAAAAGGCAAATCTGTATCCTCTTAGTAAAATATGATATAGAATAAAAATAGACTATGTACATTTATCATACTGAAAGGTGAGATCAAATTTGACAGGATTCTAGGTTAAGAATTTATTGACAAACTGCAATATTGTCCTAAAACTTATCATTTGGATGAAAATTATTTTTAATTTTAATATATTGAATTGAAAATGTGGCTGTTAAAGAAATTGGTCCTATAAATACTCACCTTCATCAGTCTGATCCCTGAAAGTGTATCACAATATGTCTCTGTAAGTGTTATAAGATATTATCACTTATTTGTATTATTGTATGTGTATTATTATTCTGTAAACCTTGTTCTTGTTTCTTGTACTTTGTTCAACTTTTATGACACATCAAATAGAATTCATCGATGCTGAATTTTTTAAAGTACCTGTCATTATAGTTAACAACTTTTCTGTTATTTGTTATGCAGTTTCAGGGCTATTTCTTGTCCTTGCTTTAGATTGTTCACATGATGAAGGGGAAAAATGTAGCAATAAATGTTGCTACACATAATAGAGAAGTTCTTATCCGAAAAAGATTTTATGTCTTCATGTAACCCCAGCTCCTCAATGACTATCAAAGAGTTGACACTGTACAAATGTAATTGTTTTCTGTGACACAAGATAGTCGTAGCTCACCTTGTGTCTGGTACTCCACCAGGGCCAATGACACATTCAGCATCCACGGACAGACGCTGTACAATCTTCAGAACATCACAGGCGTCAGCCGAGTTAGGGACTGTTCGAAGGAAAAACATTTACTGAGAGAAAGAAAGAACATTTACTTTTAGAAGGCAAAACACCTACTTTTAGAAGAAAAAACATGTACCGTTAGAAGAAAACAACATTTACTTAAGAAGAAAAAACATTTATGGTAAGAATAAAAAAACCATTTAGTGTCAAAAGGAACAACAATAACAGTTAGTAGAACAAATAATTACTGTCAAACGAAAAAAATACAGTTAGGCTTAAAAAAGAAGAAAAAGAATTGGTTCTCAGGCAATGGCCTTTGAAAATATTGTGTGTTTTTTTTATTAGGTTTTCCAACTTATTGCCATGGAAACGTGAAAAATAAAAATATCTAAAATTCCTAAATAGCAAGAGGCACCAGTCCAGTATGTGTCTGGTAAACATGCAAAGTTTTTGTTGGAAAGTATTGAATGGGTTTTGAGTTATGCTCCGGAAACAAACTCTACCCTATAGAACCTAAGTCCAACTTGTTGCAATGGAAACGTAAAAAATAAAAATTTATATAATTCCTAAATAGCAAAAGGCACCAGTTCAGTATGTGCCTAGTAGACATGCAAAGTTTTGTAAGAAAGTATTTAACGTTTTTTGAGTTACACTCCGGAAACGAACAGCACCCTTTTAGAACCTAAGTCCAACTTGTTGCCATGGAAACGTAAAAAATAAAAATTTATAAAACTTCTCAATAGCAAAGGCACCAGTTCAGTATGTGTCTGGTAAACATGCAAAGTTTTGTAAGAAATTATTTAACGGTTTTTGAGTTACACTCCGGAAACGAACAGCACCCTTTTAGAACCTAAGTCCAACTTGTTGCCATGGAAATTTATAAAATTCCTAAATAGCAAAAGGCACCAGTTCAGCATGAGTCTGATAGCCATGCAAAGTTTCGTAGAGAAATATTTAACGGTTTCTGAGTTATGCTCCGGAAACGATTTCGGGACGCACACACACGCACACACACACGCACACACGGACGGAACCCATTTCTATATCCCCCGCCAACTTCGTTGGGGCGGGGGATAATAAAAGCGAAACATGCGGCAAACTCAGTGATAATGCAGGCGGTGCCTGAGAACCATTAGTTTTTTTAGCCTTAGAAAGAAGGAAAAACATTTACTGATAGAGGGGATAAAAGGGACTGATTAACTATAGTAATATGAAAGAACTGGGCGTTCTTTAACTTCTTTTGAGTAGTATACATCATGACATATTAGTAGACAACCAAAGTCATGTTTAAACAATTTGAAACAAATTTTCAATGACTGTCAGATTTCTAGGCTAGTCCAGCTCACGTTAAGCTACCTACTCTTGGTGCCATTATAAGCCACAGCCTGCAGAGGAACGGTCTGTCCACTGACAGGAAGAGTTGGCGTGGCAGCAAGCTTTTGCAAGATGGCGGCCAGAATGGACCAGGGGATGTCTGTGTTCCTCGTATCGACACGCAGCTCCACATCAGCTACCACACTCCCACTCCTGCAAGGAAATTATTAACTTGAAAGGGCCAAACCAATATAATTAGTTTTACAGTTTAATTTTGTCAAAATGCCAAAAGTCAGAAGGCCAAAAACATTGTTGTCAGGGTGGCTTTGGGGTTAAATCCTTAAATGACCACTTGAAATAAAAGTGTTTAGACAACGGAAAGTATGCCAAATAGGCATTGTCTCAAATAAACACATTCTGATTTTTTAAAACTTATATAAGATTTAGGGTAGATTTGACCATAAAAGAAGAAAATACGTTGGTCTTGCCTGTATTTGAGAAAAAAATTGTCATGTTTCCATGTCACTTACAAACCAATCCAAACCTTGTGATACTTATCTGTCATAGCAGAGCCCTTCTTCCCGAGGCAAGAGAGTAAACTGACTATACAAGTCCAGTTTCCACCCTTGCCGAACTAGGCTGGTATTATGGAGTTACATTTTGGCTGGACTAATGAGTCCAATCCAAATCGCGCACCGAAATCGAAATCCGGTTCGTAAACTGTTGTGCAGATTTTGGTGGATTGCAGGATTTGCAAAGCATGTACACTGCCAACTTGTTGTCAGCAGATATTTTCCAAATCTTTTCATTTTTTTAATCAAGGTGCTCACGTGATTTGATGCATTTCGCGATGTAAGACCCGTTGTATCATGATATAGAACTTGATTATCGATCAGATCGTCCTGACTGGGCGCCACCAGTTTGTGTGAAGCAAACGCCAGTGATACGAGAGGTGGAATGTGATTGGTCCATAGGAGAGGTTTAGAAGGGACATTACTGGTAATAGCCACTGGTGGCGCTACGCTCGAGCCCAGGAATTCCAGCCTAGTTCTTTTAAAGTCAGTTAACTCTCTTGCTTCGGGAAGATGGGCAGAGCCATATGAATGCATTCCTCAAGAGCCATTTTGTGAGGGCGGAATCAATAGAGGAGATGGTATTGTACAACAGTCTAAAAGCAGTGAATATCTTTGACTGCATCACCTCACGCTTTCCTCCCACTTCAAACCAGCACACCATGATATAACTGAAATACTATTCAAAGAGGGATCAAACCGAACTCACTCACCTCAGTGAGCCTGTCTTGCTGGGCACAAAGGCTTCTCGTGCCACAGTCTCCACAACAGAATCCACCTGGAAAGCAGGGCTTATGTCATGTGATGTATCATCTATTATGTTGAATAATACAAAATCAACAAGTCTAAACGTCTTCTAAGTCCTCATAGTTAAGAAAACCTTTCAAGAGATCCAAATATGTTTCTATGACCGTGAACGATGCTACTATCAGGATTACTAAGATGTTGAACTGTTTTACTAACAGGACACTGTGTATTACTAAGATGGTGAGCGATGTTACTATCAGGACACTGTGTATTACTAAGATGGTGAACTGTGTTATGATCATGACACTATGTATCACTAAGATGGTGAACTGTGTTACTATCAGGACACTATGTATTACTAAGATGGTGAACTGTTTTACTGACAGGACACTGTGTATTACTAAGATGGTGAACTGTGTTACTATCAGGACACTATGTAACACTAAGATGGTGAACTGTGTTACTATCAGGACACTATGTTTTACTAAGATGTTGAACTGTGTTACTATCAGGACACTGTTTCACTAAGATGGTGAACCGTGACATCAAGATACTATGTATGACTTGTTTCTTTAGTGTTAAACGCCCCACTCAGCAATATTCTAGCCATATGATGGGGGTCTGTAAATAATTGAGTCTTCATCAGACAATCCAGTGATTGACATCAAGAGCATTGATCCACTCAATTAGGATACGACGACATGCATCAGTCAAGTCAGTGAGCCTGATCACCTGATCCCCTTAGTCGCCTTTTACAGCAATCATGGTTTGCCGAAGACCTATTCTAACCCGGATCTTCACGGGCATACTATGTATGACTTAGATGGTGACTCACAGCGGTAGAGATGCTGTCTTGCAGACTGACATACAGGAGAGATGAGGAAATACCGTTGATGACGATGCGCCGATCCAAGTTGAGGGTGATGGTTGTGTTGTACCTGATGAATGCGGCTGCAGAATGAAACACAGGCTGTCAGAAAACTTCTTAAGCTTCTCTTCTCCATATGTTATTATACACAGCCATACTAATGATGTTCACATCTATGTGGCTTAAAATTAGGTCTTATCAGGCCAAACATTTATTTTATTGTTTCACTGACAGTTGGCCCAAACATTCAGGATGTTAGCTGAAAAAAATCCAAGTCCAATCTCAAATATATATGTTTCTTGTATGTATTGCATTTCGATTTATATTTTTTTCACTTTTCACTTTTTTTAAATTGGCGGATTTGAAAACCAAGTTTTTAAAAAAGCCTGGCCTTACATATGAAGTTTGCCTCCGAATAATTAATTTTGTCATACCATGACCAGTGAAAGTAATGAGGTATTCTTACCTTGACAGTAGTTACCTGCCCCTGAGTACCCCCGTGGGCATACACAGGCGTAAGTCCCGGGCAGGTTCACACAGTCATACTCACAGCTGTGAAGGTGGCGCTGCAAACACTCGTTCTCGTCTGAAAATATCATCAAATGGTGATGGAAATAGGAATAATGAGTCATCTGTACTGAGTGATTGTTGCAGGTTAAGTAGGTCATCCCGAATCTAAACCATTGTTATTTTGAGAAAGAAACTGCAGAAAAACTAACTGAAATATCACCTCTACCAAAAGAATATCACAGAATATGTGTTGTCAGCAACATGCAGAGATGTTTGTTTGTTTGTTTGTTTGTTGTTTAATGCCGCACTCAGCAATATTCCAGCTATATGACGGCGGTCTGTTAATAATAAAGTCTGGACAAGGCAATCCATTGATTGCTATCATGAGCATTGATCCACGCATTGAGATGCGATGACAAGAAATCAACCAAGTTACCAAGCCTGACCACCCAATCCATTTAGTCGCCTCTTGACCAGCAAAGGTTGCTGGAGACCAATATTCTTGGAATACCCATTAAACCCTGCCTATCAATGACTCACTCACCAACACACACATTATTGGCAGCTTTGACATATCCAGCATCACAGTCACATTCAAATGATCCCAGTTTGTTGCGACACTTCTGATTGGCTGCTGTGCACACGGGGGCGGAGTCTGTACATTCATCCACATCCTCATCACAAGAGCTTCCTGTCCACTGAGGTCTACATGTACAACTGCCGGTCACTGCGTCACAGGACTGGGTATTGGCAAAGACACAGGTGCACTGGCGGGCACAGTTCTCTCCATAGTGTTTGGCATCACATACTGAAATTACAACTTTTTCTGATATTCACATTTTTCTACATGCTAATGTGAACAATGAAAAATGACACAGGTCTGTCCCGATGTTTTATAAATGGCTAAAAAATCGATCGTAAGCAAAAGATTAACATAAAATGTCCATGAAATATGCCCAGTGTAAATTATAATTTTACTCTTTATCATAATTGTGTTAAAATTTCATAAAAGTCATATAACTAGATTTGATGACACAACCAAACCAGTTAGGTAATTGCAAAACATGAATTGCAGCAAGGAAACGAAAGCAGAACCAGCTGTCCCCATGTTTCCCTACGGTACCTTCCCTACAGACTGACAATCCGCAGTCACATAGAGATGAATACACATTTTAGATTCAACTCGGTTTTTTTAAATAACCTGAAAAATAAATTACTAATGACTAAAGGCCCCTAATTTTACTGACTACTGATCTCCCCCATCAGGACCCTCCTACAGATATAAAGAAAAGAGGCAAAAACAGTTGACAGAAGCTAATACAGTTCACTTAATGATGACCTGGTGAATGTTGTTTAGCGCTGTTGTCATACACATGTGATGATTACACATTTTAGATTCAACTCGGTTTTTTTAAATAACCTGAAAAATAAATTACTAATGACTAAAGGCCCCTAATTTTACTGACTACTGATCTCCCCCATCAGGACCCTCCTACAGATATAAAGAAAAGAGGCAAGAACAGTTGACAGAAGCTAATACAGTTCACTTAATGATGACCTGGTGAATGTTGTTTAGCGCTGTTGTCAGCAAAGTTCAAGCCTACAAAGTGCGCATCAGAGAACCAGTTGTCGATTGCATGTAAGTTGGGTGCGATGACACACAATCAACCAGGAAACACATAATCACCATGCAATCCCCATTAGCATGCTTTTACAACAAGCATGGGGTACTTTATAGCTTGTATACAAACCATATTCTCATTTAGTACCAGTACTACTAAACGTCAATACATTCAACAGAGTGATTGTAGTGCTAAGGTGACCGTAACTCCTATACTTCAACATGGACTTACGACAATCGTAGCACTATGATCGTTTGCTACGTTGCTACATATGCTTTGCAATGGGCTAGCTGCTAATTGCAATTGGCAGTGGTAGTTACCATAGCAACAGTAACTGTTCAGTTATCATTAACTAGTATTTTAGTATCTCACAAGCACCTGCATACATTACTCCATTTAATCCCCCTTCTCTTGTGTTGTTCTAAATAACTGGAAATATCAGGGTCCAGTTAAGTAATGAAAAGGTGTAGTGTACCTGACTCTACGATTTCATAAGTACATTTACTTTAATTACAGGACCTTTATATTTCTTTTCAAAAATTTGGTACATTGAATATTACTTTGTGTCCCTCAGATTTATTTTCTGGTCTAGATTTTTATAACAGAGTTATCCACTTAGTAAGGAGAAATCGTTTGATCTCCTGAAGTGATATTTCCTGTGGAAGCTAGTTTGGGATGATAAATGATTTTTATCCTGTACTTACCACTGCAAGAATTATTAGTTCTGACATGACCGGGTAGACAGGTGCAGGAATAGGAACCGTTCCTCTCGCTACAAACGCCGTTGGTGCCGCAAATAGCTGGGGTGTCGGTACATTCTGGTACATCCTCCGTGCACGTCGTTCCTTTCCACCCAGTCCTACAGCTACAGCTGCCATCAGTTGCATTACAGCTGATGGTGTTTGAGGCATCACAGCTGCAGGTCTGTGCACAGTTGGGTCCATACTTGCCATATGAACATGCTGAGGAGGACATATCAAGTAAAATACATACAAAATTTTATCTTCATAATAATCATGGCCATTTAGTGAGTGTGTGACTATGGTTTTACGCTGCTTTTAGCAATATTCCAGCAAGGAGAAGCAAACGCTTTAACTACTAGGCTACCCGACTGCCCCTCATGGCCATTTAAGTATTGCAATAGTATTTTGAAAGTTAAGAACATAAGTGGGATAAGTTAATAATTTGGGGTGTGGGGTGTGGGGTGTGGGGTGTGGGGTGTGTGGGTCAGACCGTCAGATTCACTGACTTTGTTGATGCATGTCATCATATCCCCATTGCATGGAACAATGCTCATGATGTCGATCACTGGATTGTCTGGCCCAGACTTACTTATTTACTGGTGACTGATGTATTTCATCGGTCTAAGGACCACATATATTTCAATCAGTGAGTTCAGACCTAAGATTAATGAGCTTTGATTCATAAGGTTTGTATGTTTATAAGACATTTACCTCGACAAGTTGTTTTGTCAGCTGCCAGGGAAAATCCTGCATCACAGGTACATGTGTAGGATCCCACAGACTCGACACAGCCTTGGGAGCACCGAGGGGGAGACAACTCACACTCCTTGATGTCTGGAACAAATCTGTCATATGAGTGCTCATCCTCGACTATCCAGGGTATCACATCTCCATTCCACTACATGTATTACAAATACCCAGACTGTTCACTGCCACGTTTCTGAAGAGACGTCACCACCTGTATTTATTTTAATCCTGTTATTTACATGTTACTGAAATTCAGTTTTGTTTATTGAGTGGGAAATTATTCAATAAAAACTTGCAAGTGATTCCATGTCATTTGAGAGCCAAACCAGGCAATTTTTGAGTGATCATGATTCCAAAAAATGGACGGGGCTTGTGTTGCATTATTGGGCTGAATGATGTCACTGATTTCCTATTGTAGTGTACAGTTACTTTGTGTAAATCATTACATAAGCAAACTGTGATGAGTGTTGTTGACACAGTTATTTATAACAACTGACTTCAATATAATTATGTAATTACACAATGTGCACACCAGTTTTCATGTAAATGCAAAAATCTTGAAGTTAATTCTTACTGGACCAGACAATCAGGTGACTGACAGCATGAGCATCAATCTACACAATTGGAATACGCAAATTTTATTGTATCCCAACTGCATAGATTGATACTCATGCTGTCAATCACTGGATTGTCAGGACCAGACACGATTATTTACTACCTTCATACAGCTGGAAAACTGCAGAGTGTGGTGATAAACAACAAACAGACAAACAAACAATCACAACTTTGGTGACTAATTTGTTCCAAGTATTTTCCAATATTGACCTACCATCACAAGTGACGCCATCTGTGTTGAGGTGATAGCCAGGACGACAGAAACAAATCTCTGCAGCACCACTGACCTGACACCCTTGTGAACAGCTCGTCCTGTTGGAGCACTCAGTCGTCTCTACATGAAAAACACATGGCGGCATGTACTTAGCACTTGCATATTCACCGCTTTGTGAGTGAGTTGGATTTCAAGCCTCTTTTAGCAATATTAATCCCACCCATATCACTGCAGGGAAATGAGGAATTAGCTTTACATATTGTACCAATGTTGAGAATAGAACCCAGGTCTTTGTCACCATGAGGCCATGCTGTGACCACTGTGCCATCCCACTTCAAATCTCATCCCAGCAAGAATATATATATAGCTTGCACTGAGCATGGTCAAACCTCTTTTAATTATACTTCTTTTATATTTATATATTACTTGATAAATGTTTAAAACAATGTAACTAACTTCAAAGTCCTGTGAGAATTTGTATTGATAATACAACCAATAATATTACCTCCGACTTTGATTTGCAAATTAATTTACATATTTCAATGTTTCCTAGAATGTTTAGTAAATAATGGCTTACTAAAACATACATTTCTTCACCTAAAATGTTCATTAAACACAATCTTACAGAAAATATTTTTTTCTGAAATACACAAATTAAGTCAAATTTTCCAATTCATTCAGACGCCATCAAAACTAAGTCAAACAAAGTGATTCCTGATGCATGGAGTAATGGCTGCCTATCCTGGCCTTGAGGTATCTTAGCTTATGCTACAGGTAGAACATTTCCAGTATTATTTCATAGCTAATTAAGATACCAGTAACTATATCTGTAAATTTTCATCAGTAACAATGCAACTTACGTATACACGATTTTCCATCACTTCCGTCAAGAGTGAAGCCCTCGAAGCACTCACATATATATCCCCCGAGGGTGTTGGAGCAGTCCTGTGAACACCCACTTGTAGCAAGGCGACACTCATCAATATCTGAAACAGTCCATTCAAATACTGTAAATCTTGAAATTAACGCAAGTGTGAATTAAATACAATAAATACGAGTGGTCATTGCTCTCAATAATTGAACATTGCATTTATATCTAAACATGACTATCAACAATATGAGTATTGACAGTATATGTTGTCTACAGTATATATACACCTACCTCTGCAGGTGCCCTTCCCTTCAAGAACAACGCCAGGGTTACAGCTGCAGTAGTAGCTTCCTTCAGTGACATGAAGGTGTGGTCACTTGTCTATAGAACAGTATATATACACCTACCTCTGCAGGTGCCCTTCCCTTCAAGAACAAAGCCAGGGTTACAGCTGCAGTAGTAGCTTCCTTCAGTGTCATGGCAGGTATGATCACACATGTTGTCTTTTGAACTTGAGCACTCATTTATTTCTGAAAAAGCAGTACTCAAACAATCCAGTAAAATATTGCAAAGTCAGATCCAAAACTAGCTTGAACATTTTTTAAGAATAGACTTGGTCCTACTTTTATTCAATATTCTGCACCCATTTTGTTTATCTGCAAATCAAAGTTTTATTATGTCTTTCAATGTTTTAGTTACACAGGGAAATGTCTTAGTTTCACACAAAACACAAAGTTCCCCTCTAAGACTGTACTTTTGTCAGATAAATAGATTAAATTTGATAAATAACAGAATGAGGAAACACATCTGTAACCAATTTAGAGGTCAAATTTGTTCATGTTTGCAAATAAAAGTAACAGTTTCAAAAGGGTATTGTTTATATCATTTAATTCAACTTACCATCACAAGTGGTGTTGTCAGCAGAGAGGGAGTAGCCAGATCGGCACCGACATTGGTAAGATCCTGGAAGGTTATGGCAGTCGGAGTTGGCCTGGCAGGTGACGGTGGAGCACTCATTCTTGTCCAGGTCACACTTGTCCCCGGTCCAGCCGCTGTGACACATGCAGCCCGTCATCTTGTCACACCCCTGGGAGCCCTGGGGGTGACAGTTGCACATGCTGCTGCAGTCACTGCCCCAGTGCTGGCTGTCACAAGCTGGGCAACAACATACAGGAAGAAGATGGATATGAATACCCCTATCAACATTGCCATAACCACAGTACTAAATATGACCTTGTCACTTTGTCTGCCATAACCACAGTACTAAATATGACCTTGTCACTTTGTCTGCCATAACCACAGTACTAAATATGACCTTGTCACTTTGTCTGCCATAACCACAGTACTAAATATGACCTTGTCACTTTGTCTTCCATCACGACAGTACTAAATATGACCTTGTCACTTTGTCTGCCATAACCACAGTACTAAATATGACCTTGTCACTTTGTCTGCCATAACCACAGTACTAAATATGACCTTGTCACTTTGCCATTACCACAGTACTAAATATGACCATGTCACTTTGCCATTACCACAGTACTAAATATGACCTTGTCACTTTGCCATCACCACAGTACTAAATATGACCTTGTCACTTTGTCTGCCATAACCACAGTACTACATATGACCTTGTCACTTTGTCTGCCATAACCACAGTACTAAATATGACCTTGTCACTTTGTCTGCCATAACCACAGTACTAAATATGACCTTGTCACTTTGTCTGCCAGAACCACAGTACTAAATATAACCTTGTCACTTTGTCTGCCATAACCACAGTACTAAATATGACCTTGTCACTTTGTCTGCCATAACCACAGTACTAAATATGACCTTGTCACTTTGTCTGCCATAACCATAGTACTAAATATAACCTTGTCACTTTGTCTGCCATAACCACAATACTAAATATGACCTTGTCACTTTGTCTGCCATAACCACAGTACTACATATGACCTTGTCACTTTGTCTGCCATAACCACAGTACTAAATATGACCTTGTCACTTCGTCTGCCATAACCACAGTACTAAATATGACCTTGTCACTTTGTCTGCCATAACCACAGTACTAAATATGACCTTGTCACTTTGTCTGCCATAACCATAGTACTAAATATAACCTTGTCACTTTGTCTGCCATAACCACAGTACTAAATATGACCTTGTCACTTTGTCTGCCATAACCATAGTACTAAATATGACCTTGTCACTTTGTCTGCCATAACCACAGTACTGAATATGACCTTGTCACTTTGTCTGCCATAACCACAGTACTAAATATGACCTTGTCACTTTGTCTGCCATAACCACAGTACTGAATATAACCTTGCCACTTTGTCTGCCATAACCACAGTACTAAATATGACCTTGTCACTTTGTCTGCCATAACCATAGTACTAAATATGACCTTGTAACTTCGTCTGCCATAACCATAGTACTAAATATGACCTTGTCACTTTGTCTGCCATCATTACAGTACTAAATATGACCTTGTCACTTTGTCATTACAACAGTACTAAATATAATCTTGTCACTTTGTCTGCCATTACCACAGTACTAAATATGACCTTGTCACTTTGCCATTACCACAATACTAAATATAACCTTGTCTGCCATAACCACAGTACTAAATATGACCTTGTCACTTTGTCTGCCATCATTACAGTACTAAATATGACCTTGTCACTTTGTTTGCCATCATCACAGTACTAAATATGACCTTGTCACTTTGTTTGCTATCATCACAGTACTAAATATGACCTTGTCACTTTGTTTGCTATCATCACAGTACTAAATATGACCTTGTCACTTTGTTTGCCATCATCACAGTACTAAATATGACCTTGTCGCTTTGTTTGTCGTTACCACAATACTAAATATGACCTTGTCACTTTGTCTGCCATAACCACAGTACTAAATATAACCTTGTCACCTTGTCTGCCATCATTACAGTACTAAATATGACCTTGTCGCTTTGTCTGCCATCATTACAGTACTAAATATGCCCTTGTCACTTTGTCTGCCATCACCACAGTACTAAATATGACCTTGTCGCTTTGTTTGCCATTACTACAGTAGTAAATATGACCTTGTCACTTTGTCTGCCATCATCACAGTACTAAATATGATCTTGTAACTGTGTCTGCCATTATCATTGTACTAAATATGACCTTGTCGCTTTGTCTGCCATTACCACAGTACTAAATATGACCTCGCCACTTTGTCTGCCATTATCACAGTACTAAATATAACCTTGTCACCTTGTCTGCCATTATCACAGTACTAAATATGACCTCGCCACTTTGTCTGCAATTACCACAGTACTAAATATGACCTCGCCACTTTGTCTGCCATTATCACAGTACTAAATATGACCTCCCACTTTGTCCGCCATTTTCACTGTTCACATAATGAGTTGATATCTCAATAATATTATGACAAATCAAACTCCAGTAAACTATACAGTTATAACAAACTCAAAGGGACCACGAATATTAGTTTGTTACATAGTTCGATATAAGCATTTCGACTCAAATATACAGCAAATGGTCGTGTGTACTATGTGCCTTGGAATCCCCCAAGGGTTAGTGTCTGTTAATCTTACTTGACCGAAAGGAATGTTACGAGACTTAGGCATCAAACTAGAGGCTAAAATCTCAATGTAGTCATCCCTTTTGCTTCAAGAATGTGTACTATTAGCCTTGGAATCCCCCAAGGGCTAGTGTCTGTTAATCTTACTTGACCGAAAGGAATGTTACGAGACTCAGGCATCAAAGAAGGGGCTACAACCACAGGCCATGATCTCACTGTCAATTAGTCATCCCTTTTGCTTACAGAACATATACTATTAGCCTTGGAATTGCCATGGGCTTGTGTCTTTAAATCTTCCCAGACTAAGAGAAATGTAGTGTCAGGCTTAGGACAATAACGAAAGTAACATTCTGTATCTTCCCTGCTGCTAAGTATGGGGGTTATGGGCCTATTCTGCCCTGGAATCCCCTGGAATGGCCTCATCTGATGCAGTACCTGCACATTTCCGCTCATCATTCTGCAGCAACATCCCTGGGGGACATGAACACCTGTAGGTGCCCGGGATGTTCTCACACTCATGGCTGCACTGGTTACTGGAGTTGGAGGTGCACTCGTTGATGTCTGGAACAGGTGAAATGTTGCATGTAACATGATTGATGGTGTCGGAGGTGGACTATGTAATAGTATTGATCATAAATCAATTCTATAGATGCATTACTTTGAGTAATTCTCATTCAGCATTATAATTTTTGCCTCAAGCAGATTGTCTCGTTCATTTCAATTGTTACAGTTTTCATTCTTTATAAAGTGGCCAAATCAACTTGATGTCTTGTGAACGCAATTTTTCACAAGTTAGCAATCACATTAGAATCAGATCTTAGTTCGCGCTTCCACTAAACAAATATTCCATTACGAGTCAAGTCAAGACCTTTCAACAAACCAAACACAGCATACCAGATCTGAAAAGTGACAGTCGGAATGAGTTTTCTAATCATGTAACCTGGAAAAGGTAATAAAAAACAGGATATTCTGAATGACAGTTATGGGCTGTATGACTGAATCCGTCAAAATCATCGTCTCTCGCTTCAATGGGACAACATTTGAAAGGAGGGAAGTACTGCCATACAATCTCAGCCATCTATAAAAATGTTCTTTTGTTGAATTTTTGAATTTTGAATCGAGAACTTTTAAAAAATATATTTCAAAGCGAAATCTGGAATGGAAGTCACCAGTTTGATACTAGTGCTGTATAGCTCAGGAAAGCTGCTTACTGATCGGCTAATGTTGATTTCTTGTTGGTCATTTCATTGGACGGTCAAAGTTCAGATGTAACCTCTATTGGGATGTTCTCAGATCTTTGTTAAGCAGTAAGAACTAAGAAATAGTTTTGATGAGATTGCAAAATATAGCATAAGACATCATCCACTGTTGATGGCATGTTGTGAATTAATGTTAAAATTTACAAAATTAATGCCCTTGGGGTAGATAATCCACAATTCCTTCAGTTCCAAGGTTATTCTCTACATTACCTAGACATGTCTTCCCATCGGCTGCCAGGGCGTATCCTCCTTAACATCCTACATTACCTACACATGTCTTCCCGTCCACAGACAGGGCTTATCCTCAGTATCATCCTACATTACCTAGACATGTCTTCCCATCGAATGCCACGGCGTATCCTCGGTTACATCCTACATTACCTAGACATGTCTTCCCGTTGGCTGCCAGGGCGTATCCTCGTTTAAATCCTACATTACCTAGACATGTCTTCCCGTCGGCTGCCAGGGCGTATCCTCGTTTAAATCCTACATTACCTAGACATGTCTTCCCGTCGGCTGCCAGGGCGTATCCTCGTTTAAATCCTACATTACCTAGACATGTCTTCCCGTCGGCTGCCAGGGCGTATCCTCGTTTAAATCCTACATTACCTAGACATGTCTCCCCGTCGGCTGCCAGGGCGTATCCTCGTTTAAATCCTACATTACCTAGACATGTCCTCCCGTCCACAGACAGGGCTTATCCTCGGTTACATCCTACATTACCTAGACATGTCCTCCCATCGGCTGCCAGGGCATATCCTCGGTATCATCCTACATTACTTAGACATGTCCTCCCATCGGCTGCCAGGGCATATCCGCGTTTACATCCTACATTACCTAGACATGTCCTCCCATCGGCTGCCAGGGCATATCCGCGTTTACATCCTTCATTACCTAGACATGTCCTCCCATCGGCTGCCAGGGCCTATCCGCGTTTACATTCTACATTACCTAGACATGTCCTCCCATCGGCTGCCAGGGCATATCCGTGTTTACATCCTACATTACCTAGACATGTCCTCCCATCGGCTGCCAGGGCGTGTCCGCATTTACATCCTACATTACCTAGACATGTCCTCCCATCGGCTGCCAGGGCATATCCGCATTTACATCCTTCATTACCTAGACATGTCCCCCCATCGGCTGCCAGAGCTATCCTCGGTTACATCCTACATTACCTAGACATGTCTTCCCATCGGCTGCCAGGGCATATCCGCGTTTACATCCTACATTACTTAGACATGTCCTCCCATCAGCTGCCAGGGCATATCCTCGTTTACATCCTACATTACCTAGACATGTCCTCCCATCGGCTGCCAGGGCATATCCGCGTTTACATCCTACATTACCTAGACATGTCCTCCCATCGGCTGCCAGGGCATATCCGCGTTTACATCCTACATTACTTAGACATGTCCTCCCATCGGCTGCCAGGGCATATCCGCGTTTACATCCTACATTACCTAGACATGTCCTCCCATCGGCTGCCAGGGCATATCCGCGTTTACATCCTACATTACTTAGACATGTCCTCCCATCGGCTGCCAGGGCATATCCTCGTTTACATCCTACATTACCTAGACATGTCCTCCCATCGGCTGCCAGGGCATATCCGCGTTTACATCCTACATTACCTAGACATGTCCTCCCATCGGCTGCCAGGGCATATCCGCGTTTACATCCTACATTACTTAGACATGTCCTCCCATCGGCTGCCAGGGCATATCCGCGTTTACATCCTACATTACCTAGACATGTCCTCCCATCGGCTGCCAGGGCATATCCGCGTTTACATCCTACATTACTTAGACATGTCCTCCCATCGGCTGCCAGGGCATATCCTCGTTTACATCCTACATTACCTAGACATGTCTTCCTGTCCACAGCCAGGTTGTATCCTCGGTTACATCCACACCAGGGCTGGTTTTGCTCCGTCACACAGTAATGGCTGCAGCTAACACCCACTGCCACCACACATGACGCTGCTACTGAAATAGTTAGTGTTTCAAAGGAATGGCTGTGAGTGAGTGAGTATGGTTTTACGCCGCTTTTAGCAATATTCCAGCAACATCACGGCGGGGGACACCAGAAATGAGCTTCACACATTGTACCCATGTCGGGAATCGAACCCGGGTCTTCGGCGTGACGAGTGAACGCTTTAACCACTAGGCTACCCGACCGCCCCCGGAATTGCTGTGGAGAGGGTGCATATTGCTAAATGTTGCACAGCAATTCATATTATGACTGGTCCCGCACTGATAGTAGTTTTCACATGAATACTAAGATACAATGTTAAGAGTTAACAGCCAGCCCAGTGTGAGGTACATCTAGATTAGTCAAGAATTTTGTTTTGACAGAACCTGGAATAGTCAAGAGTTTGGTGTGCACAGAGACTGGATTTGTCAAGGGTTTGGTGTTGATAAAGTCTGGATTAGCCAAGAGTTTGGTGTTGACATAGTCTAGATTAGTCAAGAGTTTGGTGTTGACATAGTCTGGATTAGCCAAGAGTTTGGTGTTGACAGAGTCTGGATTAGTCAAGAGTTTGGTGTTCACAGGGTCTGGATTAGTCAAGAGTTTAGTGTGCAGAGAGTCTGGAGTAATCAAAAGTTGGTGTTGACATAGTCTGGATTAGCCAAGAGTTTGGTGTTGACAGAGTCTGGATTAGTCAAGAGTTTGGTGTTGATATAGTCTGGATTAGCCAAGAGTTTGGTGTTCACAGGGTCTGGATTAGTCAAGAGTTTGGTGTTGACTGGGTCTGGATTAGTCAAGAGTTTGGTGTTGACTGGGTCTGGATTAGTCAAGAGTTTGGTGTCGGCAGAGTCTAGATTAGTCAAGAGTTTGGATTAGTCAAGAGTTTGGTGTTCACAGAGGCCTGGATAAGTCAAGGGTGTGGTGTTGGCAGAGGCCTGGATAAGTCAAGAGTTTGGTGTTGACAGAGGCCTGGATTAGTCAAGAGTTTGGTGTTGACTGGGTCTGGATTAGTCAAGAGTTGGTGTTGACATAGTCTGGATTAGCCAAGAGTTTGGTGTTGACAGAGTCTGGATAAGTCAAGAGTTTGGTGTTGACTGGGTCTGGATTAGTCAAGAGTTTGGTGTTGGCAGAGTCTAGATTAGTCAAGAGTTTGGTGTTGGCAGTGTTTGGATTAGTCAAGAGTTTGGTGTTGGCAGAGTCTGGATTAGTCAAGTGATTGGATGTGGACAGAGGCCTGGATTAGTCAAGAGTTTGGTGTTGACTGGGTCTGGATTAGTCAAGAGTTTGGTGTCGGCAGAGTCTAGATTAGTCAGAGTTTGGATTAGTCAAGAGTTTGGTGTTGACAGAGGCCTGGATTAGTCAAGAGTTTGGTGTTGACAAAGGCCTGGATTAGTCAAGGGTCTGGTGTTGGCAGAGACTGGATTACTTTTCTGAACTTGGTCTAATTTATAACCAAAATAATGTTAAGTAACAAAGTTTTATGAAACTTCAAACCATCCATGTTTGATAAACACATGGTAATTTTAAGAATAATTTTTCAAATATCATTTATTCACTGTTCATTTTTTGTCATAATAAATAAGGCAATAATTTTTTACTTACAAGTCTTGTCACATGTTTTCCGGTCATCGCTCAGTTCGTAACCATAGTGACACATGCAGTTGTAGGTCCCAGGTACGTTGACACACAACTGCTCACAGCTGGATTGGCCATTTGTGCACTCGTCAATATCTAGGTAGGAAACAACAGATGCCTTATCTATCTTTTTATAACACAGATTGTTTTTATGAATGGTTCAGTAGGTGGAATCAATAAAAAAAGAAAAATGAATTGGCAATATTGATGCCCAGAACGTATCATGTATTGATAAAACATATATTTGCAAATCTGCATCATTTGACTTGTTGGCATTTGACAGTTGTCAATAGTATTTGTGAAGCATGTTTTTTGGTTTTGAATGTTTTAATCAAATATATATAAACAAAGATGTTGAAAAAGCAATACAAATTATACATCATTCTAAATTATTTTATTCTTTAATACATGTATTACAAAATGTTATGTAGGCCTCCATAAAATTAAATGGCCTCAGGACTCAAACAGATTGTGAAATTCCTTAAAGTTTTGTTTATTGATATAAATAAATGCATATTAGAAATGAATAAATTTTGAAAAAATAATTTGCAAAGTCTGTCACCATTCATTTGAAATGCGTAGAGAGTATGTGATGATGTCGGTAATGTTTTGTTTATTTCTTTGTTGTTTAATGCCGCACTCAGCAATATTCCAGCTACATGAGCAACCAGTGATTGACATCATGAGCATCGATCCATGCAATTGGGATACGATGACATACATCAACCATGTCAGTGAGCCTGACCACCCGATCCCGTTAGTTGCCTCTTATGACAAGCATAGTCGCCTTTTACGGCGAGCATTGGCTGCTGAAGACTCATTGTAACCAGCATCTTCACGGGTCATCATGCCAGTAGCAGCAAGTGTGATTAAACATTGGAATCGTGTTCAAATTACTGATATGGCTGTCTTTGTAGTGTGGTTGGTTACTGAAATGGCGTGCCCTTATGGATTTATCAAGGGGAAATACCAATATTTCTTCATAAAAATGCAAATGAAATAGGAATTTTATTTTGTTCACCAATATTTCTTCATAAAAATGCAAATGAAATAGGAATTTTAATTTGTTCACCAATATTTCTTTATAAAAATGCAAATGAAATATTAATTCATTTTGTTCACAAACATTTGATATCAGTTATTAATATGGATTGTTTTTGAGTTCAGAGAATCTGGGGACAGATTACTTTCTGACAGCACTGATTCATCCTGACCTAGTTTGCCAATTAGGTTACTATTTTGCACTGACCCAGTTCAGTGTGACTGACATAGCTTTCTCATGACCCTCGTTCAAGCAGTAAATCAGCTGATACAAATCAATGTCACAGCCCCATATCAATGCACTTACTGGCCACCCTATATCTAGACAGAAAAATTAACATCTAGACTGAAAGACAATGCTGCCTGTGTTGTCAGCCTGTTAATTGATCTTTAGGCCCCACTTTTTGACTTGCTTTATGGATCTGCTGACTGTAAATGTTGTGGAAATGAATACATCTCTCCAGAATTAGCTCTTTTTTCTTGCAGCCAATAAGCTGACAGCATATTGCACCCAAAAATATTTTGTAAACCGGGACCCACTGAAGTTGACAAAAATTAAACATGGGAGTCTAAATAAAGTTAGTTCTTGTTCCAGAAATTGATAGTATGCGATAGTATTCCCGCTTGACAGATCAGGTTTGCATTGCTTAAGTGAGTGAGTGAGTATGGTTTTACGCCGCTTTAGCAATATTCCAGCAACATCACGGCGGGGGACACCAGAAATGGGCTACACACATTGTACCCATGTCGGGAATCGAACCCGGGTCTTCGTCGTGCCGAGCGAACACTTTAACCACTAGGCTCCCCGACCGCCCCTGCATTGCTTAAAGCAACAGCTGTGTTGCAGCTCTCCTCCCAAATTAAACCATTTATTATTTTTTTATACCAGCCGACCTGTAGCGGAGGAGAAAACTTAAAATATAATTGAATTTCCTTCTTTTTATCCCCCCACCTACTGACTGAGTAAAACATCTGTAAAATACAGCAAGTCAAAGTGTGTGGCCTCATGAATCGCTGTCCTTCAGACACAGTGTGATTTATCCACGTTTCTGTTCTCATATCTGTGCTGACTTTGGACTTGTTTTTACCTACGTGTGTTGTGCTCACTTGTACACATCATGGTTACAAACCATTGCACTCATCATGACACAATCCTTTACGCCTACTAGCTCAGATATCATGTTAAGCAGGTCTGATCCAAAACTGTTAAATTCTGTGCTATGATTCTGCTCCAGACTAATGTTTTGCATGGAACAAATGATAATCTTCTGTCACCTGCTTCCCTAGACATTTTCTGTCACCTGCTAACCTAGACACTTTCTGTCACCTGCTTACCTAGACACTTTCTGACACCTGCTTACCTAGACACTTTCTGTCACCTGCTAACCTAGACACTTGCTGACACCTGCTTACCTAGACACTTTCTTTCACCTGCTTACCTAGATACTTTCTGTCACCTGCTCACCAAGACATTACTTGCCAGCTGCTTGCCTTGACATATTCATCAGCTGCTTACCTAGACACTTTCTGTCATCTGCTTCCCTAGACATCTTCTGTCACCTGCTTACCTAGACACTTTCTGACACCTGCTTACATAGACACTTTCTGTCACCTGCTTACCTAGATACTTTCTGTCACCTGCTCACCTAGACATTTCTTGCCAGCTGCTTGCCTTGACACATTCATCAGCTGCTTACCTAGACACTTTCTGTCATCTGCTTACCTAGACATTTCTTGCCAGCTGCTTGCCTTGACACATTCATCACCTGCTTACCTAGACACTTACTGACACCTGCTTACCTAGACACTTTCTGTCACCTGCTTACCTAGACACTTTCTGTCACCTGCTTACCTAGACACTGTTGCTCAACCTCTGTGTAGCCCTCCTGACAGTGACAGCTGAAGGATCCTGCTGTGTTCAGGCACAGGAAGTTGGACTGGCAGGGGCTGGTCATAGCTTCACATTCATTGATATCTGCATTGAAGGAGTGAATCATTCTTTGAGTCATGGTAGCTTACACTGTATGATCAAATTACATAGCCACCGGGTTCTTAAATGAACTGCTTGATCATGAAGAATGCATCTTCTTTTTTATACTATTAAAACTGTTTTGGCACAATATAACTGTTTAATACCCTAATATATTTATAATCCCTAACTATTTTTGTTCAGTATATATTACTTTAATACATTGATGTGTTCTTTGGTTCCAAAACTTGTTCTTGGCGCAATATGGCTGATGCAAAACTTTACTGACTTACTTACTTACTAATGGAGGTATAACGTGTGGTTTCCGACATATGCGTATTTCCCTCACAGGCCCGCCAGGCCATTTATTGATGTGGTCAAGAAGGGTATGTACTAAAGGTAAAGCAACCTGGAGGGGCTTTATGGTTGCCTAATTAATTTTGGCGAAATTTGGAATTTTGAAATATGCCACACTAAAAAGGTAGGGGAATTAAAGGAGTTTGTGAGGTTGTGTGGTTGTGTGTTTTTTATATAGATTTATGATTTATGTTTTATTGGTAGCTTGTTTGTTGTCGGCTTTTGTTTTTGTTTCCTTTTAAATGCTTCCCGAAATAGGCCTGTTTTGATTAGTTAAATGCCTAGTGCTTTATGGGATTGTAAGTTATTTTGTAAGTTATCGAGTTGCTAGTGTCATTTGATTGTTGTAGTTCAGTATGGATTTTAGTGTTGTTCTGTGTTGTTGGTAATATATGCAATGTAGTACATGTGTATTACGTATTCAGGAGTTTCTATTTGGTTGCAATGTAGGCATTTACCGGTTTGATATTTTTAATTTGGTGTAGGTGTGAGTTTAGTTTAGTGTGGCCAGTTTGCCCTGTCAATTTCATTTGTTTCATGATGGATTTTTCGTTTCTTAAGTGGCTTTTGAAGCAGGTGTTTTATTCTGCAGTTTGATTTCTGATAGTTGTTTTGCCACTTTTGGAAGATTTTTTCCTAAGTGAAATTATTAATTTCGTTTTTAGATATTGGAAGGTTGAAGCTTACTTCTTTTAATTGTAGTGGTGATTTAGCTGCTTTGTCGGCGTGTTCATTACCAAACACTCTGATGTGGGCAGGGATCCATATGATTTCTATGTCTTTTCCTAGTTTACGGAGAGTATCTGAAGTATTAGTTTTGATACTTAAAAGCTCGAACAATCTCCGTAAACTAGGCAAAGGCATTCATGCAAAATCTTAAGCATTAAATACCAATACACTCCAGTCCCTGCTTCCTGAATCCTGCGGGGCACCTGCACTGGTAGGACCCTGGGGTGTCAACACATGTCTGCTGACTGCTGCATATGCTGGGGTCGAGCCCACACTCGTTGATGTTGACTGCACAGTTGACACCAGTCCACCCCTCGACACACACACATCCATGAACAGGATCGCAGTTGGTGGCATGCCCTTTACATTCACACGTATTGTTGCAAGATGGACCCCAAAATGGGAAAGGGCATTCTGAAACAGATTTTGAACCAGTATTTAGGACATGGGTTTGTATAGCAGTATTAGACCTTGGTAGAAACTCTCAGGGAAGCATGTAAAATCCCAGAACTTGCCTCTCCTCACATAAAGTGCTCTGGTTTCAGGCGAGGACCAGACCTTGCCAGAAACTGTCAGAAAGGCCTGTTTCTCCTCTTATAAGGTGCTCTGGTTTCATGAGATAACCAGACCTTGCCAGAAGCTTCACAGATAGGCCTGTTTCTCCTCATATAAAGTGCTCTGGTTTCATGAGAGAGCAAGACCTTGTGAGAAACTCTCAGATAGGCCTGTTTCTCCTCATATAAAAAGTGCTCTAGTTTCATGAGAGAGCAAGACCTTGCCAGAACCTCTCAGATAGGCCTGTTTCTCCTCACATAAAGTGTTCTGGTTTCCTGAGGACCAGACCTTGCCAGAACCTCTCAGATAGGCCTGTTTCTCCTCACATAAAGTGTTCTGGTTTCCTGAGGACCAGACCTTGCCAGAAACTCTCAGAGAGGCCTGTTTCTCCTCATATAAAGTGCTCTGTTTCATGAGCGGACCAGACCTTCCCAGAAACTCTCAGATAGGCCTGTTTCTCCTCATATAAGGTGTTCTGCTTTCATCAGGACCAGACCTTGCAAGAAACTCTCAGAGAGGCCTGTTTCTCCTCATATAAGGTGATCTAGTTTCATGAGAGAGCCAGACCTTGCCAGAAACTCTCAGATAGGCCTGTTTCTCCTCATATAAAGTGCTCTGGTTTCATGAGAGGACCAGACCTTGCCAGAACCTCTCAGATAGACCTGTTTCTCCTCACATAAAGTGCTCTGGTTTCATGAGGACCAGACCTTGCCAGAAACTCTCAGAGAGGCCTGTTTCTCCTTATATAAGGTGCTCTGGTTTCATGAGAAGACCAGACCTTGCCAGAAACTCTCAGATAGGCCTGTTTCTCCTCATATAAAGTGCTCTGGTTTCATGAGAGGACCAGACCTTGCCAGAAACTCTCAGAGAGGCCTGTTTCTCCTCATATAAGGTGTTCTGGTTTCATCAGGACCAGACCTTGCCAGAAACTCTCAGATAGGCCTGTTTCTCCTCATATAATGTGCTCTGGTTTCATCAGGACCAGACCTTGCCAGAAACTCTCAGATAGGCCTGTTTCTCCTCATATAAGGTGTTCTGGTTTCATCAGGACCAGACCTTGCAAGAACCCCTCAGAGAGGCCTGTTTCTCCTCATATAAGGTGTTCTGGTTTCATCAGGACCAGACCTTGCAAGAAACTGTCAGATAGGACTGTTTCTCCTCATATAATGTGCTCTGGTTTCATCAGGACCAGACCTTGCCAGAAACTCTCAGATAGGCCTGTTTCTCCTCATGTAAGGTGTTCTGGTTTCATCAGGACCAGACCTTGCCAGAAACTCTCAGATAGGCCTGTTTCTCCTCATATAAGGTGTTCTGGTTTCATCAGGACCAGACCTTGCAAGAAACTCTCAGAGAGGCCTGTTTCTCCTCATATAAAAAGGGCTCTAGTTTCATGAGAGAGCAAGACCTTGCCAGAACCTCTCAGATAGGCCTGTTTCTCCTCACATAAAGTGTTCTGGTTTCCTGAGGACCAGACCTTGCCAGAAACTCTCAGATAGGCCTGTTTCTCCTCATATAAAGTGCTCTGTTTCATGAGAGGACCAGACCTTGCCAGAAACTCTCAGATAGGGCTGTTTCTCCTCATATAAGGTGCTCTGGTTTCAGGTGATGATTACACTTACCTGTACAAGAATAACCGTCATCATCCAGGTAGAACCCTTGATAGCAGGAGCAGGTGTAGCCACCATCAGTGTTGAGACAGGTCTGGGAACACAGGCTCATCCCACACTCGTTCATGTCTAGCAAACACAGGGAGGGAAACAGGGAATAACCAACAAGCTATTAAGAAATATAAGATAGCTACATCATAAATCGCAAAGAGGAATGAAGAAGGAAGCATGGCTTATTTCACGATAAAACATTGTTCTATCATGACATCATTTCTAGAGATTTGAATATGCGCTTGCAACTTAATGTCATATATTGGACGTCGTTATTTTTTAGAGGTAATTGTCTGGTGAGTTTGTTCCCCATACGCAGATAAAAGTGGGAGAGATATGATAAATAGGTACAGTTAATCAATGTGAGGATATGTGAGATTATGCGGGAAATACAAAACTTAACCCATCTGTTCATAAAATAGACTTGTCCAACATTGCCAAGGTGTGGTATTTTTAAAGCTTGCACATTTTATCAACATCCTTAAGAGTCTGTACATAACGTTGACATCTCATATAAGAAATAAACGAGTCATTTTTTTGTCGTACAATAAAACACTGCAGGGAGAATAAACCAATCCTATACAATAACCACAAGTTGTTTATTTCCCAAGTAAGGGGATGGTGGAAGCAGTGGGCCTTGCATTCATTCACAAGGGACAGATAATCTGCAATTCTTAGTTTTGAGGAGGTCATTCTTGTAAAGGATAAAACATGACAGTGAGAGTTTGGTTGAAAATGTAAACATCATGGGAAGGGAAAAACCCAATGGCTGAAAGAAAATATGAAACAACATTTAGCAACAATTTTATGTTTCCAACACACTTTCCATAGACCTTAGGAAATGGACATAAACTATATCTTGCTGGCATTCATTTACCTGTACTTGAAAAAGTATTCTGATTTATCAGCATCTCAGTAGCCTTGTATCTAGGCTAAGTCAACATTGTAATGTGTGTTAGGTAGATAATATACTACCGGTACTCATTCCATTCGCATACAGGAAATGAAGAAAAATGCATAAAATAAAACATATGAAATGTCAGACACTTCACTGAAGTCAGCCTATTATTCTGACGATGTCATGAACAATGGATGACATCAAAAAGTATTGATCTTGACACTGAAGCAATTTGATGTCATATCACTTCAATTGACCAATCAACATAAAAAAACGCACACATACAACTATCGGACACGGCTTGGTCATGCAATGAGGTCTTTGCAGACGGTTGTTCGTCCCTTTGAGGCAGATTTATCATTTCAATGGCAAGTGTGTTGTGTCTCTTGCACGCATGCATATTGTATGTCTTGTACTATTATACCTGAGCATGTCTTTCCATCAGGTCCGAGTTTGAACCCAGCCTGGCAGTAACACTGGGGGCTGTTGTCTTCATTGAGAGCACATAGATGGGCACAGCCGAATGTAAAGCAAGAGCTCGGCACTGAAAGTGAAGCAGATGTGTGTCATAGTCATGGCAGCATTATTAGAATGTTCATCACAAGTTAATGATCAAAATCTACTTACCCTACTTCAATCGGGTGAGTGAGTATGGTTTTATCCACTTTTAGCAATATTCCAGCAATATCACGGCAGTGGACACCAGAAACGGGATTCATACATTGTGCCCATGTGGGGAATCAAACCCAGGGCCTTCGGCACGAAGGGAGAATGCTTTAACTGCTAGACTACCTCACTGCCCTCCTTACTAGAAGACAACTTGTCCACTTTGGTTATTTCTTGACATAAATGAACTTGCAGGGAACTGATATTTTAGTCTAAGAAACCCTTTTTGAACTTGTGTGCATGTTTACCTGAGTGAGAGACTCACCTTGCATCTGTGTGCAGGTTTTACCATCAGTGCTCAGCACAAACCCTGAGAGGCAGTCACAGCGGTACCCTCCGCCTGTGTTGACACAGGTTTGGCTGCAGTTGTATCGATGTTCGGTACATTCATCTATGTCTGCAGGAAAGTAGTTCAAGATACAGTAGCTTCCAAAGGAAATGAATAAACTTGTAGGTTCCTAGAGCTTTAATACAACATAGGACAATGAATTACACTTGTCGGGGGGGGGGGGGGGGGGTACACAAATTACGTGACCTAGACTACCAGTTGTCGGACCACCATTTTGTGGAACTCTCGGGGCCTGAGTTGGTGACCATGAGATGCTGGGTTTGCATGGGTCCCTGAGCATCTCATGTTTATCAAGTCGACTCAGTGAGGTGAAGTGGGGTTTAAGATTGTGTTCAAGATTACTGCACTCATACAGCGACGTGCATGCACGTGTGTGCGGCTGCTTGTACCAGTCCTGACTTATTCCTGTTATAAGGGTTTAATAATATCAAGTACCTTCATTGGTATGATGTAGCCAGAGGTTCAGACCACCAACCTTCCACCCTCCTGGCAGACACTCTATCTAGAAGACCACACAGGCAGTCCAAAAGTTGACTAAAATGGATTGGTTGGGTTGATTGCATGTCATTGCGTGTTCATAAAATAAACCACTGGTTCGTCTGTAACTTACACCTCTTTGTAACATCTATATAAAAAATGCCATAAACAAAATCTCCATATTTTAGTGTAAGCAATCTCAACAGATACTGCTGGCCAAATTTCGGAGTTTTTCCACCATTGATCTTATTAATACCGCAAACCCTTTTTCCGAGTTTTTCCACCATCGATCTTAACAAATAACGCCAACCCAATTTCCGAGGTTTCCAACATCGATCTTAGCAAATACCGCAAACCGAATTTCCGAGTTTTTCCAACATCGATCTCAACAGGTACCTACCAACACACTTTCCCTGGGAGTTTTTCCGATACCCACTCAGACAGGCGCATGTGAAGGAGCCCTTGGTGTTGTAGCAGACAGAGTTGCCAGGGCAGCCATCTCCAGCCAGGCACTCGTTCACATCTGGAACACATTACAGGACACATTACTTCATGATTGTGGTCAAGTCATCAAAAGGGATGCAATTTGCTGCGAAGAGCTGCGTCCCTTAGGCATACCAGGAACCTATGATCACTGGATGGAATCCCAGATTTGCACCGGTCATTTTAATATTCTTTGTCAGAAAACACCTTTGTCAGCAAACACCAAAGTGGTCAGCATCTAAGCCCTACATCACTTTCCTCTCACATCAATAGGGCTGGCTAAAAACAATTATTGATATGAAAATTGTGTCATATATTGTGCTTATATCTTACATAAACAATTGTGATGAAAAAATTTAAATTAACCAAAACTTGTTATTGCCAATCATGCCAACTGCCAAAGAAGAACAACTGTTTTTGTTATTACTCTAATGTCCACCAAGTAATCCATGCATAAATGTGTCACCACTCACCAGTGGCATGAAGTGAGTTGATTTCTTTCAGACTCTTTTGCATATTTGCTCAAAGTTACTTCTCCGATATTTATTGATAAATATTTACTTAACGATTATTAATCTCTATGGCCTGTATCGATAGCCAGCCCTACACATCAAGCTGACAAGCTGTGACATAACTGAAATACTGTTAAAGTGACATTAAACAAAACTCACTCACTCACTCTAATGTAAAGTAGAAATTGTTAACATCCGACATACTCTTCATTTTTCACTCTGACTGCAACAAATATTTTAACTTCATACAGAAAACCATGAAAACTGCATTTTCGTAGTGTGAGTTTCTGTTTGTAAATTTGGCATGTGCTACATTCAATACAAAATCAGGGGAGGTAACACCATGAGGTTTCACACATTTTGGAATTAAACACCGTTTTTTGTTGTGACAAGCCAATGCTTTAACCACTGTGCTACCCTACCAGCCCTGAAATATAGAATGGCCTATTAAGAACAAACTCCTATGGTTTCCATTTGGTTAAAATAATTTTTCAGTACTGTATACCAAAACTGACCTTGACATTTAACATCGCCTGGTTCACTGTAGTAGCCAATGGGACAAGAGGAGCATGTGTAGCCCCGCCCAGTGTTAGCGTGGACCATTGGAGTCTCGTCTGTACAGGTCCGCCCCTCCCCACATGGTCCACTCATACACCCATCATAGTCTTCCGAACAGGTGCTTCCTGCACAACATTTGACAAAGCTCATAGGCAAATACTCAATAACAACCAAATATATCATGTTCATCAGGTGAGGTGTGGTTTCATTCAAATTATAATACTCATATCATGACATGAATGCATTTGTGTATGTGTGGCTGCTTGTCCTAGTCCAGGTGAGGTGAGGTGAAATGGGGTTTAACGTCACATTCAGAATATTTCACTTATAAAGCAACGTGCATGTACATGTGTGTATGTGTGCGGCTGCTTGTACTAGTCAAGAATGATGCTGATTTAATAGTGCTAGGCCACGGAGATACCATGCCGCAGTTTTACATGAATACCCCACTCAGACACAGTATACTGACTCTGAGCTAACCAGTCATTGTTTTAGCCCTTTAATGCTGAGCGCCAGGCAGCGTAACAGCAAGTACAATCTTTTAACATCTATTGGTATGATGCAGTCGTGGATCGAACCCTGGACCTTCTGCTTCTCTGGCGGACGCTCTACCACTAGACCATGAAGGCGGTCCACTAGTCCAGACATATGCATACTGATTTCAAGCCAGACAGTCCTTGTATTATGCCATTCATGCCAGGCAGGGTAACAACAAGTACAATCTTTTAACATCTACTGGTATGATACAGTCGGGGATCGAACCCTGGACCTTCTGCTTCTCTGGCGGACGCTCTACCACTAGACCATGAAGGCGGTCCACTAGTCCTGACATATGCATACTGATTTCAAGCCAGACAGTCCTTGTATTATGCCAATCATGCCAGGCAGGGTAACAACAAGTACCATTTTTTAACGTCTTTTCGTTTGACACAGCCGGTGATCAAACCACCAACCCTTCACTCTCCGGGCAGTCTATCCACAAGACCATGGAGATAGTGCACATGTTTATCAATTTTAGAAGCACAATACCATACAAAAAATGCCCCAGTCAGCAAACTTCAACTGCACCATGACAGAGTGTAAGTCATCAAGTCTGAACTAGTCAAACCACTGGTCTTAAGAATAACGCTGATTTATTACTGGTATACATAGAAAAACCTATGAATGCGATCAGTGCCACTGAGAATGGCTGCCAGTCCAGCCGACCTCACACACACACAACGGCCAGTCTACATAACGCTACAGTACTGGTAAGTCACAATTTGTTTGGACAGAGAATGGCCACCTGTCCAGCCGATCACACACACACAACGGCCAGTCTACATAACGCTACAGTACTGGTATGTCACAATTTGTTTGGACAGAGAATAGCCACCTGTCCAGCCGATCTCACACACACATGTGGCCAGTTTGAAGTGTTGCGTGTTGCCCTGGGCTCCTGGATGGGGGCTGAGGTAGTCACAGCGGCCGTGTACACATCCCTCACAGAGAGTGACCTTCACATTGATCAGGCGGGACTTCATGCCACGACTGTCCTCCGCATTTAAACTAAAAAGGAACAGAAACATATCTGTCATACTAAAACAAGATAATAATAAAAAAACAGTACTTTTCTGTATACAAATGAAACTAAAATTGATTTGGTGAAACTGCTTGATAGATTTGCCCAGTTGCCTTAGTGCCATGCAGTGGTCGGGTAGGGTGCATTTCTGTATTAAAATTTTGGCCATGGTACATTTTTGTATTACAACTTTCAACCAGGATATATTACGGTATTACAGAAATATACCAAGGATACATTTCAGAGTACCCTGTGGGACAACGACCTTCAACTGACCTGATTTTGACAGGTGTGGAATCTGTCGGTGTCCATGACCCTCGCCCAGTGTCGGGGTCAAAGGTGAAGCCCGACACTGGCTGGTTCTGCAGAACATACTTGAAGCTGTCCCCTTCCGCATCTGACCCATCAAATTCCAGGTTGACTGAGTGACCCACCTCCACGCTGATGGTGTCCGTGCCGTTCACTATTGGCGCACTGTTACCTGAGAAAGAGTGTGTGAGTGTTTTTCTAAACTGCAGCTGATAATATTCGAGTTTTATCAGTGGTCTTGAAGTCACCAATAATGAAAACATGCAAATACAAAAACATTGTCTGTATGAGTGAGTGAGCTCGGTTTCATGCTGCTGTGGTGAAACCCACAAACATGGGATTGGAGCTCAGGAGCATAATCAAGGAAACCAAGGAGCATAATCAAGGGATCTGTGATTTGAACACAGGTTCATGGATTCCTGGCACACCTAAGGGGCACAACTCTGCACAGCAAATTATTGAATTGCCTCTGCTGAATTGGCAAGAAATGTATACAAGTCTACATTAGATAGAGTTCCCAAATTCTATATCTTTTGCTGTTTATGAATTGTCGTTATTGTTTAAAAACAACAACTTTGAAATGAAAGTTTTTTTAAAATACCAACTGAAAAGATCAACACAGCCTTTTTATGTTCTTTTTCATTTATCATTGGACACTTAAGGGTAGACCCATCCCATAATAAGAATATTAATTGGTTTGACCTTAAATAAAACATCTGCAGTCATGACAACCAGGTAAAATTTGTTTCCTAAAAACAATATCAACACTTTGGTAGCACAATTTTCCACATTCAAATATGAGCTTACTCATCACTGCCTGGGTTTCATCAGATTCCATCTTAATGGTCTTTGTTGACATGGCCAGCACATGGTCTCCAGTGACGGCATAGTCAAACACACACTGGTCACTGGCCCCTGACCCACAGACACCCTCTGCTGCCATACGTGCCACAGGGTCGATTTCATCCATGAACAGCGGGATGAACGTGTTGTTGAAGTAGTTGGAACTGATCATGCCAGGAGAGTAGCGAAGGATGCTATCAGAGTCTGCCACAGCCCCTTGGAAAAATCATTTGATATTATATATTATTATTAAATATTTAATTTCTGAATCCAAATATTTGTTCTGTGTACCTATTGTAAACGGAGCGGTGGGGTAGCTTAGTGGTTAAAGTGTTCACTCGTCATGCCGAAGACCCGGGTTCGATTCCCCATGGGTACATTGTGTGAAGCCCGTTTCTGGTGTCCCCTGCCATGATATTGCTGGAATATTGCTAAAAGCAGCATAGAACCACACTCACTCACTCCTATTGTAAACCTCTTCAGTTATGTACAAAGAACTTTCTCCTTTGCCGCTGCCACTGAATGCAACAATCTACCCCGATCTCTGAGAATGTCCTACCTACTCTGCTTTTGGAACATCCATCAAGGCCTATCTCTTCCACCAAAATTTCTACTGAACTGTCCTATCTTTTCTGCACTTGAGCATGCACATTTTATATGAACTACTACTACTACTACTACTACTACTACTACTACTACTAAAAGTAGGCATTATACCACATGATGCATGTACCTTACACCAGTGTTGCTGAAAGTATACACACTGATAAATTTATTCAGCCAAACCTTCGAGCTTCTTGAATATTCAGAGAAACTATATCAATGTTGAAATATCTGAGGTTTTACCTGAGGGTGTAGTGAAAAGTCTTTTATGAAAAGATTCAAAATGAGGCCACAAATATAATGTATGTACCCCCGGTATGTAAAAAATTACTTTATTGTACCCTCATACCAGATCATAATTCATCATCTCAAACAATGACAGACAAACAATCAAAGCATATTTTATCCAGGTGAGCTAAAGCAGAATTTATATTTCTCAAAACAGATGTTGATTACAGGTATATTAAAATGGTGGAATGTCATCACCTGCTTGAGCCACATACATATCAATATTTAACAGATTATTCTTGACATCCATATGGAAGAAATCTTGAAATACACTTTCAAATTAATGATGATATCGGAGAGTTACTTTCCAGTCTTGCCCATGTGATACAGTTATGTCTCTGTCATTAGTGATGTGTTACATAATCCCTGTGAAGATCCGGGTAGAGAATAGGTCTTCAGCAACTCATACTTGACATAAGAGACAAATATGCTTGTCATAAGAGGAGACTAATGGGATTTGGTGGTCAGACTCGCTGACTTGGTTGATGCATGTTATTGTATCCCAATTGTGTAGATCAATGCTCATGATGTCAATCACTGGACTGTCTGGTCCAGACTCGATAACTCACAGTCTGCCGTCATATAGCTGGAATATTGCTGAGTTCAGCATTTAACAACAAACAAACAAACTTACATGTCTTCCCCATGTCAAACAGCTGTCGCTCTGTTGCTGTTGCAGGGAGAGAATCTCCCGATGATGTGTTAAAATCATTTGTGTTGTCACCATCAAAATTCCCAAGAAGGCCACTCGTCAAACCCTGAAATTTATTTTCCAGCGCAACAGAAAAAGACAGGGACTTGGCACTGAGTGTTATGTCAATGCTGACCTCTGAAAAAAGAGTTATTGAGATTGAAATATTTAAACATAGTGCCAATCAGTCAGGTGAGATAACATTTTAGAGATAGAAATATAATTTTTTCAATATTTTCCATTACCTGCCTTTACTTTCTTATTCAATTAAAGTATATTTACAGTGATATATTTAACTGAACAAAATAATCTTCACTTGAATTAAAATGAAAATATGCCTGTTTCAACAAACATATAGAAAATATACTTTTTGCATCTTAAATATAAATTTAATGCAAACAATCTAGGGAACAATTTATGTATGTAAGCCCGAAATTTGTAAATTAATTATCTTCCCATGTTATGGGTTTTCAGATGAGTAAGATACATTCGAGTTTTCTCATTCACTTATAAAAGACAACTTTCTCTTAAAAACAAGCCATCATCTGAGAGTTTACAATGTCTGTGTAATGTTATATCCCCGTTATAGCACGAGTAATCGCTATAAACATGGCCGTCCGAAAACGTATGATGTCTGAAAACCCATGATAGGACGATGTTCTTGTTGAAACTTGTCACCAAAGGATATGCTTACAACAGGAATAGTATGCTTCAATCACAACACAAATTACTTTCAAACAAAAGATGCTAATAGAGCATGATGTTCCTGATAGTATTTATTGATGGTCGTCATTCTAGGTCAGGTGACCTTGAGATCAGATGAGACAACCATTAGCTAGGTGGCTAACGGGGAAGACAACTCTTGGAAAGGTGAACTTTCACAGTTGGTATATCTGGTACAACTTGTCTGTGATCATAGGGAGAAAGTTATTATTCTGATGGTGTTTTTGTCTCACCTGACACAGGAAAAGTGAATCTGATGGTTGATGTACTGATCCTGGTTGCATAAAGGGTGGAAGTCCACTCCACATAATGGGCTTCGCCATAAAACAGGGTTGATCTGTCAATACCATTGATGTACACTACCATTTCTAAAATACAAATAGAAAAAGAAAATTTACTGCAGTTTTATTTTCCTGCAAAGAGTTTTGATCAAAAGTAATTTTAGTTGTCCATATTGACAAATAGGGAATAAAAGTAGGTCGAAAATAAATAATTGTTTTTTTTAGCTCATTTTTTCTTTGTTACAAATGCAACTGTCCTTTGTCTTGTCAAGTGTACGTCTCATGTTAATCCAATTGTCATGTTGCTGGTCATCTACTTGTCATGTTGCTGGTCAAGTGTCAGACATGATAACCTACTTGTCTTGTTGCTGGTCAAGTGTCAGACATAACCTACTTGTCTTGTTGCTGGTCAAGTGTCAGCCATGATAACCTACTCGTCATGTTGCTGGTCAAGTGTCAGCCATGATAACCTACTTGTCTTGTTGCTGTTCAAGTGTCAGCCATGATAACCTACTTGTCTTGTTGGTCGAGTGTCAGCCATGATAACCTACTTGTCTTGTTGCTGGTCAAGTGTCAGCCATGATAACCTACTCGTCATGTTGCTGGTCAAGTGTCAGCCATGATAACCTACTTGTCTTGTTGCTGGTCAAGTGTCAGCCATGATAACCTACTTGTCTTGTTGCTGGTCAAGTGTCAGACATAACCTACTTGTCTTGTTGCTGGTGGAGTGTCAGACATGATAACCTACTCGTCATGTTGCTGGTCAAGTGTCAGCCATGATAACCTACTTGTCTTGCTGCTGGTCAAGTGTCAGCCATGATAACCTACTTGTCTTGTTGCTGGTCAAGTGTCAGCCATGATAACCTACTTGTCTTGTTGCTGGACAAGTGTCAGACATGATAACCTACTTGTCTTGTTGCTGGTCAAGTGTCAGACATGATAACCTACTCGTCATGTTGCTGGTCAATTGTCAGCCATGATAACCTACTTGTCTTGTTGCTGGACAAGTGTCAGACATGATAACCTACTTGTCTTGTTGCTGGTCAAGTGTCAGACATAACCTACTTGTCTTGTTGCTGGTGGAGTGTCAGCCATGATAACCTACTTGTCTTGTTGCTGGTGGAGTGTCAGACATGATAACCTACTTGTCTCGTTGCTGGTTAAGTGTCAGACATGATAACCTACTCGTCTTGTTGCTGGTCAAGTGTCAGCCATGATAACCTACTTGTCTTGTTGCTGGTCAAGTGTCAGACATAACCTACTTGTCTTGTTGCTGGTGGAGCGTCAGCCATGATAACGTACTTGTCTTGTTGCTGGTGGAGTGTCAGACATGATAACCTACTTGTCTTGTTGCTGGTGGAGTGTCAGACATGATAACCTACTTGTCTTGTTGCTGGTCAAGTGTCAGCCATGATAACCTACTTGTCTTGTTGCTGGACAAGTGTCAGCCATGATAACCTACTTGTCTTGTTGCTGGACAAGTGTCAGCCATGATAACCTACTTGTCTTGTTGCTGGTCAAGTGTCAGCCATGATAACCTACTTGTCTTGTTGCTGGTCAAGTGTCAGCCATGATAACCTACTTGTCATGTTGCTGGTCAAGTGTCAGACATGATAACCTACTTGTCTTGTTGCTGGTCAAGTGTCAGCCATGATAACCTACTTGTCTTGTTGCTGGTCAAGTGTCAGACATGATAACCTACTTGTCTTGTTGCTGGTCAAGTGTCAGCCATGATAACCTACTCGTCATGTTGCTGGTCAAGTGTCAGCCATGATAACCTACTTGTCTTGTTGCTGGTCAAGTGTCAGCCATGATAACCTACTTGTCTTGTTGCTGGTCAAGTGTCAGCCATGATAACCTACTTGTCTTGTTGCTGGTCAAGTGTCAGCCATGATAACCTACTTGTCTTGTTGCTGGACAAGTGTCAGCCATGATAACCTACTCGTCATGTTGCTGGTCAAGTGTCAGCCATGATAACCTACTTGTCTTGTTGCTGTTCAAGTGTCAGCCATGATAACCTACTTGTCTTGTTGGTCGAGTGTCAGCCATGATAACCTACTCTTCATGTAGCTGGTCAAGTGTCAGCCATGATAACCTACTCGTCATTTTGCTGGTCAAGTGTCAGACATGATAACCTACTTGTCTTGTTGCTGGTCAAGTGTCAGACATGATAACCTACTCGTCATGTTGCTTGTCAAGTGTCAGCCATGATAACCTACTTGTCTTGTTGCTGGACAAGTGTCAGCCATGATAACCTACTTGTCTTGTTGCTGGTCAAGTGTCAGACATGATAACGTACTTGTCTTGTTGCTGGTCAAGTGTCAGCCATGATAACGTACTTGTCTTGTTGCTGGACAAGTGTCAGCCATGATAACGTACTTGTCTTGTTGCTGGTCAAGTGTCAGCCATGATAACCTACTTGTCTTGTTGCTGGACAAGTGTCAGCCATGATAACCTACTCGTCATGTTGCTGGTCAAGTGTCAGACATGATAACCTACTTGTTTTGTTGCTGTTCAAGTGTCAGCCATGATAACCTACTTGTCTTGTTGTTGGTCAAGTGTCAGCCATGATAACCTACTCTTCATGTAGCTGGTCAAGTGTCAGCCATGATAACCTACTCGTCATGTTGCTGGTCAAGTGTCAGCCATGATAACCTACTTGTCTTGTTGCTGGTCAAGTGTCAGACATGATAACCTACTCGTCATGTTGCTTGTCAAGTGTCAGCCATGATAACCTACTTGTCTTGTTGCTGGACAAGTGTCAGACATGATAACCTACTTGTCTTGTTGCTGGTCAAGTGTCAGACATAACCTACTTGTCTTGTTGCTGGTGGAGTGTCAGCCATGATAACGTATTTGTCTTGTTGCTGGTGGAGTGTCAGACATGATAACCTACTTGTCTTGTTGCTGGTCAAGTGTCAGACATGATAACCTACTTGTCTTGTTGCTGGTGGAGTGTCAGCCATGATAACCTACTTGTCTTGTTGCTGGACAAGTGTCAGCCATGATAACCTACTTGTCTTGTTGCTGGACAAGTGTCAGACATGATAACCTACTTGTCTCGTTGCTGGTCAAGTGTCAGTCATGATAACCTACTTGTCTTGTTGCTGGTCGAGTGTCAGCCATGATAACCTACTTGTCTTGTTGGTCGAGTGTCAGCCATGATAACCAACTAGTCATGTTGCTGGTCAAGTGTCAGCCATGATAACCTACTCGTCTTGTTGCTGGTCAAGTGTCAGACATGATAACCTACTTGTCTCGTTGCTGGTCAAGTGTCAGACATGATAACCTACTTGTCTTGTTGCTGGTGGAGTGTCAGACCTGATAACGTACTTGTCTTGTTGCTGGTCAAGTGTCAGCCATGATAACCTACTTGTCTTGTTGCTGTTCAAGTGTCAGCCATGATAACCTACTTGTCTTGTTGGTCGAGTGTCAGCCATGATAACCTACTCTTCATGTAGCTGGTCAAGTGTCAGCCATGATAACCTACTCGTCATTTTGCTGGTCAAGTGTCAGACATGATAACCTACTTGTCTTGTTGCTGGTCAAGTGTCAGACATGATAACCTACTCGTCATGTTGCTTGTCAAGTGTCAGCCATGATAACCTACTTGTCTTGTTGCTGGACAAGTGTCAGCCATGATAACCTACTTGTCTTGTTGCTGGTCAAGTGTCAGACATGATAACGTACTTGTCTTGTTGCTGGTCAAGTGTCAGCCATGATAACCTACTTGTCTTGTTGCTGTTCAAGTGTCAGCCATGATAACCTACTTGTCTTGTTGGTCGAGTGTCAGCCATGATAACCTACTCTTCATGTAGCTGGTCAAGTGTCAGCCATGATAACCTACTCGTCATTTTGCTGGTCAAGTGTCAGACATGATAACCTACTTGTCTTGTTGCTGGTCAAGTGTCAGACATGATAACCTACTCGTCATGTTGCTTGTCAAGTGTCAGCCATGATAACCTACTTGTCTTGTTGCTGGACAAGTGTCAGCCATGATAACCTACTTGTCTTGTTGCTGGTCAAGTGTCAGACATGATAACGTACTTGTCTTGTTGCTGGTCAAGTGTCAGCCATGATAACGTACTTGTCTTGTTGCTGGACAAGTGTCAGCCATGATAACGTACTTGTCTTGTTGCTGGTCAAGTGTCTGCCATGATAACCTACTTGTCTTGTTGCTGGACAAGTGTCAGCCATGATAACCTACTCGTCATGTTGCTGGTCAAGTGTCAGACATGATAACCTACTTGTTTTGTTGCTGTTCAAGTGTCAGCCATGATAACCTACTTGTCTTGTTGTTGGTCAAGTGTCAGCCATGATAACCTACTCTTCATGTAGCTGGTCAAGTGTCAGCCATGATAACCTACTCGTCATGTTGCTGGTCAAGTGTCAGACATGATAACCTACTTGTCTTGTTGCTGGTCAAGTGTCAGACATGATAACCTACTCGTCATGTTGCTTGTCAAGTGTCAGCCATGATAACCTACTTGTCTTGTTGCTGGACAAGTGTCAGACATGATAACCTACTTGTCTTGTTGCTGGTCAAGTGTCAGACATAACCTACTTGTCTTGTTGCTGGTGGAGTGTCAGCCATGATAACGTATTTGTCTTGTTGCTGGTGGAGTGTCAGACATGATAACCTACTTGTCTTGTTGCTGGTCAAGTGTCAGACATGATAACCTACTTGTCTTGTTGCTGGTGGAGTGTCAGCCATGATAACCTACTTGTCTTGTTGCTGGACAAGTGTCAGCCATGATAACCTACTTGTCTTGTTGCTGGACAAGTGTCAGACATGATAACCTACTTGTCTCGTTGCTGGTCAAGTGTCAGCCATGATAACCTACTTGTCTTGTTGCTGGTCGAGTGTCAGCCATGATAACCTACTTGTCTTGTTGCTGTTCAAGTGTCAGACATGATAACCTACTTGTCTTGTTGGTCGAGTGTCAGCCATGATAACCAACTAGTCATGTTGCTGGTCAAGTGTCAGCCATGATAACCTACTCGTCTTGTTGCTGGTCAAGTGTCAGACATGATAACCTACTTGTCTCGTTGCTGGTCAAGTGTCAGACATGATAACCTACTTGTCTTGTTGCTGGTGGAGTGTCAGACCTGATAACGTACTTGTCTTGTTGCTGGTCAAGTGTCAGCCATGATAACGTACTTGTCTTGTTGCTGGACAAGTGTCAGCCATGATAACGTACTTGTCTTGTTGCTGGTCAAGTGTCAGCCATGATAACCTACTTGTCTTGTTACTGGTCAAGTGTCAGCCATGATAACCTACTCGTCATGTTGCTGGTCAAGTGTCAGACATGATAACCTACTTGTCTTGTTGCTGTTCAAGTATCAGCCATGATAACCTACTTGTCTTGTTGTTGGTCAAGTGTCAGCCATGATAACCTACTCTTCATGTAGCTGGTCAAGTGTCAGCCATGATAACCTACTCGTCATGTTGCTGGTCAAGTGTCAGACATGATAACCTACTTGTCTTGTTGCTGGTCAAGTGTCAGACATGATAACCTACTCGTCTTGTTGCTGGTCAAGTGTCAGCCATGATAACCTACTTGTCTTGTTGCTGGACAAGTGTCAGACATGATAACCTACTTGTCTTGTTGCTGGTCAAGTGTCAGACATAACCTACTTGTCTTGTTGCTGGTGGAGTGTCAGCCATGATAACGTATTTGTCTTGTTGCTGGTGGAGTGTCAGACATGATAACCTACTTGTCTTGTTGCTGGTCAAGTGTCAGACATGATAACCTACTTGTCTTGTTGCTGGTCAAGTGTCAGCCATGATAACCTACTTGTCTTGTTGCTGGTCAAGTGTCAGACATAACCTACTTGTCTTGTTGCTGGTGGAGTGTCAGCCATGATAACCTTCTTGTCTTGTTGCTGGTCAAGTGTCAGACATGATAACCTACTTGTCTTGTTGCTGGCCAAGTGTCAGACATGAGAACCTGCTTGTCTTGTTGCTGGTCAAGTGTCAGACATGATAACCTACTTGTCTTGTTGCTGGTCAAGTGTCAGACATAACCTACTTGTCTTGTTGCTGGTGGAGTGTCAGCCATGATAACCTTCTTGTCTTGTTGCTGGTCAAGTGTCAGACATGATAACCTACTTGTCTTGTTGCTGGCCAAGTGTCAGACATGAGAACCTGCTTGTCTTGTTGCTGGTCAAGTGTCAGACATAACCTACTTGTCTTGTTGCTGGTGGAGTGTCAGCCATGATAACGTACTTGTCTTGTTGCTGGTGGAGTGTCAGACATGATAACCTACTTGTCTTGTTGCTGGTCAAGTGTCAGACATGATAACCTTCTTGTCTTGTTGCTGGTCAAGTGTCAGCCATGATAACCTACTTGTCTTGTTGCTGGTCGAGTGTCAGCCATGATAACATACTTCTCTTGTTGCTGGACAAGTGTCAGCCATGATAACCTACTTGTCTTGTTGCTGGTCAAGTGTCAGACATGATAACCTACTTGTCTTGTTGCTGGTCAAGTGTCAGCCTTGATAACCTACTCGTCTTGTTGCTGGTCAAGTGTCAGCTATGATAACCTACTTGTCTTGTTGCTGGTCAAGTGTCAGACATGATAACCTACTTGTCTCGTTGCTGGTCAAGTGTCAGACATGATAACCTACTTGTCTTGTTGCTGGTGGAGTGTCAGACCTGATAACGTACTTGTCTTGTTGCTGGTCAAGTGTCAGCCATGATAACGTACTTGTCTTGTTGCTGGACAAGTGTCAGCCATGATAACGTACTTGTCTTGTTGCTGGTCAAGTGTCAGCCATGATAACCTACTTGTCTTGTTACTGGTCAAGTGTCAGCCATGATAACCTACTCGTCATGTTGCTGGTCAAGTGTCAGACATGATAACCTACTTGTCTTGTTGCTGTTCAAGTATCAGCCATGATAACCTACTTGTCTTGTTGTTGGTCAAGTGTCAGCCATGATAACCTACTCTTCATGTAGCTGGTCAAGTGTCAGCCATGATAACCTACTCGTCATGTTGCTGGTCAAGTGTCAGACATGATAACCTACTTGTCTTGTTGCTGGTCAAGTGTCAGACATGATAACCTACTCGTCTTGTTGCTGGTCAAGTGTCAGCCATGATAACCTACTTGTCTTGTTGCTGGACAAGTGTCAGACATGATAACCTACTTGTCTTGTTGCTGGTCAAGTGTCAGACATAACCTACTTGTCTTGTTGCTGGTGGAGTGTCAGCCATGATAACGTATTTGTCTTGTTGCTGGTGGAGTGTCAGACATGATAACCTACTTGTCTTGTTGCTGGTCAAGTGTCAGACATGATAACCTACTTGTCTTGTTGCTGGTCAAGTGTCAGCCATGATAACCTACTTGTCTTGTTGCTGGTCAAGTGTCAGACATAACCTACTTGTCTTGTTGCTGGTGGAGTGTCAGCCATGATAACCTTCTTGTCTTGTTGCTGGTCAAGTGTCAGACATGATAACCTACTTGTCTTGTTGCTGGCCAAGTGTCAGACATGAGAACCTGCTTGTCTTGTTGCTGGTCAAGTGTCAGACATAACCTACTTGTCTTGTTGCTGGTGGAGTGTCAGCCATGATAACGTACTTGTCTTGTTGCTGGTGGAGTGTCAGACATGATAACCTACTTGTCTTGTTGCTGGTCAAGTGTCAGACATGATAACCTTCTTGTCTTGTTGCTGGTCAAGTGTCAGCCATGATAACCTACTTGTCTTGTTGCTGGTCGAGTGTCAGCCATGATAACATACTTCTCTTGTTGCTGGACAAGTGTCAGCCATGATAACCTACTTGTCTTGTTGCTGGTCAAGTGTCAGACATGATAACCTACTTGTCTTGTTGCTGGTCAAGTGTCAGCCTTGATAACCTACTCGTCTTGTTGCTGGTCAAGTGTCAGCTATGATAACCTACTTGTCTTGTTGCTGGTCAAGTGTCAGCTATGATAACCTACTTGTCTTGTTGCTGGTCAAGTGTCAGCCATGATAACCTACTTGTCTTGTTGCTGGACAAGTGTCAGCTATGATAACCTACTTGTCTTGTTGCTGGTCAAGTGTCAGCTATGATAACCTACTTGTCTTGTTGCTGGTCAAGTGTCAGCCATGATAACCTACTTGTCTTGTTGCTGGACAAGTGTCAGCCATGATAACCTACTTGTCTTGTTGCTGGTCAAGTGTCAGCCATGATAACGTACTTGTCTTGTTGCTGGACAAGTGTCAGCCATGATAACCTACTTGTCTTGTTGCTGGACAAGTGTCAGACATGATAACCTACTTGTCTTGTTGCTGGTGGAGTGTCAGACATAACCTACTTGTCTTGTTGCTGGTGGAGAGTCAGCCATGATAACGTACTTGTCTTGTTGCTGGTGGAGTGTCAGACATGATAACCTACTTGTCTTGTTGCTGGTCAAGTGTCAGACATGATAACCTTCTTGTCTTGTTGCTGGTCAAGTGTCAGCCATGATAACCTACTTGTCTTGTTGCTGGTCGAGTGTCAGACATGATAACGTACTTGTCTTGTTGCTGGACAAGTGTCAGCCATGATAACCTACTTGTCTTGTTGCTGGTCAAGTGTCAGACATGATAACCTACTTGTCTTGTTGCTGGTCAAGTGTCAGCCTTGATAACCTACTCGTCATGTTGCTGGTCAAGTGTCAGCCATGATAACCTACTCGTCTTGTTGCTGGTCAAGTGTCAGCCATGATAACCTACTTGTCTTGTTGCTGGTCAAGTGTCAGCTATGATAACCTACTTGTCTTGTTGCTGGTCAAGTGTCAGCCATGATAACCTACTTGTCTTGTTGCTGGACAAGTGTCAGCCATGATAACCTACTCGTCATGTTGCTGGTCAAGTATCAGCCATGATAACCTACTTGTCTTGTTGCTGTTCAAGTGTCAGCCATGATAACCTACTTGTCTTGTTGGTCGAGTGTCAGCCATGATAACCTACTCGTCATGTTGCTGGTCAAGTGTCAGACATGATAACCTACTTGTCTTGTTGCTGGTCAAGTGTCAGACATGATAACCTACTTGTCTTGTTGCTGGTCAAGTGTCAGACATGATAACCTATTTGTCTTGTTGCTGGTCAAGTGTCAGCCATGATAACCTACTTGTCTTGTTGCTGGACAAGTGTCAGCCATGATAACCTACTTGTCTTGTTGCTGGTCAAGTGTCAGCCATGATAACCTACTTGTCTTGTTGCTGGTCAAGTGTCAGCCATGATAACCTACTCGTCATGTTGCTGGTCAAGTGTCAGACATGATAACCTACTTGTCTTGTTGCTGGTCAAGTGTCAGACATGATAACCTACTTGTCTTGTTGCTGGTCAAGTGTCAGACATGATAACCTACTTGTCTTGTTGCTGGTCAATTGTCAGCCATGATAACCTACTCGTCATGTTGCTGGTCAAGTGTCAGCCATGATAACCTACTTGTCTTGTTGCTGTTCAAGTGTCAGCCATGATAACCTACTTGTCTTGTTGGTCGAGTGTCAGCCATGATAACCTACTTGTCTTGTTGCTGGTCAAGTGTCAGCCATGATAACGTACTTGTCTTGTTGCTGGACAAGTGTCAGCCATGATAACCTACTTGTCTTGTTGCTGGTCAAGTGTCAGCCATGATAACCTACTTGTCTTGTTGCTGGTCAAGTGTCAGCCATGATAACCTACTCGTCATGTTGCTGGTCAAGTGTCAGCCATGATAACCTACTTGTCTTGTTGCTGTTCAAGTGTCAGCCATGATAACCTATTTGTCTTGTTGCTGGTCAAGTGTCAGCCATGATAACCTACTTGTCTTGTTGCTGGTCAAGTGTCAGCCATGATAACCTACTTGTCATGTTGCTGTTTAAGTGTCAGCCATGATAACCTACTCGTCTTGTTGCTGTTTAAGTGTCAGCCATGATAACCTACTCGTCTTGTTGCTGGTCGAGTGTCAGCCATGATAACTTACTTGTCTTGTTACCGTTCATCTCTATGTGGAAGCTCCCACCATCTGTAGGAGCAAATCCAAACTGTTTCCCTGCAAAGGCTGTGAAAACAGTAGCCTTGGATGTTGATGCATCTGCTCGAACAGCTACCTCAGTCCGGCACTGGAGAACAAACTTAAACCCCTGAGGTTTATAGTCCAGTGTGAACAGAGTGTACTCTCCCAGACCATTAAAAGAGAAATCCCGTCCATCGAAAGTTGTGAAATGGGGGTCACCAAAACATCCAACTGCAAAGAAACATGCTCCCCATTTTCACTGAATGCAGGTCTTAGTGAGGGTAAGGAAATAATAGCAAGTCTGTTCATGGTTAAAATAAATGTGTTTGGTTTTACAGGTACCAAGTCTACGAATCTACTGAAAACACTACATACTTTGTTACACAGTGTTTTTTGCTTGGTAATATGACCTCCATTATCTGTCTTAAAGACACACCATCCCAAGGCCCCTCTGCATAACAACCAGCACTGACCCTGTTAATGGAATGTCGTTTTGTAACTTGAAACTCAGATCCGAGCACATTCTGACCACTGGAGGATATAGTATACAGAAAACTACAGTTATAACGAACTCTAAGGGACCACTAAATTTTAGTTCATTATAACCATATACATATATATGAAGCATATATACAACAAATGTCCGGGACTAAAAAATAAGTTTGTTCTATCCGTCAGTTTGTTATAAGTATATATACAGCAAATGGCGGGGAACTAAAAATAGGTGTGTTTTATCCGTTAGTTTGTTATAAGCGTGTTTGTTATAAACATAGTTTATTGTAACCTTTAAGATTTCCTAACTGTATCATAACATCATTGCATTCCTGTGTGATGTCATAGACATAGCGCTGGCAGCTTGATTGACTGCAATACAATGCAGAAATGTCTATGAAATATACTAATATTAGACACAAAAATGTAAATAAACGGTCAGTTTAATAATGTCTTACTTCTCAGTTACTGAAGTTTTGTTTTTAATGGATTCATTACCATTTTATAACCTCCATGGTGCCCCGCTCATAGCACAGTCTCCTGCACATAGCGACACAAACAATAACAAAGAGTTACTTCCCTTTACAACTTAAATGAAGCCCGCTGAAAATAAAATTAACCCAAACAAATAATCCAAATCAAACAACTGACTTCTCCTCTGGGCTGGCTGTGGCAGACAGCTGGTGATGGTGGGCCGAAGCTCTTGGAACAGGGGACACAGACTGGGGGAGTCTATACAGCACTGCTGGAGTGGTAAAAGGTCCTCCATTACGTGGCCGTGGTAGTTGGAGAAGGAACCGTAGCGGTAGTAGTTGCCTGAGAAGGGCTGATCTGACCCCAGGCCTCTGGATGCGATGTTGTAGCAGCATGACTTCAGGAAGAAATCATGTATCATGAAAGATGGTCCTTGTTCCAAGTGATTTTGTAAGCAAGCAATATTATCCCGGGGGAAGTTTTACTCTAGAGTATAGTATAGGATAGGATTAAATACACACGTATGGGTTCAAATTCACAAGGGAGAATCATCCTGACACTAGAGAATTTCACCCCCTGATAAAAAATAGGGTAAGATAATATTCACTCTTACAATTTCAGCACTGTTGTTGGTGTAAGTCTATGTAAAAGAGACCGCCTCCGTGGTCTATTGGTAGAGCATGCACCTGGAGAGCGAAAGGTCTGGGTTTGATCCCCAGCCGTGTCTTACCAAAAGACGTTAAAAGATGGTACTTGTTGTTACCCTGCCTGGCGCTCGGCATTAAACAAGGACTGGTTGGCTTGGGGTCAGTATACTTTGTCTGAGTGGGGTATCCATGTTAAACTGCAACATGGTATCTCTGTGGGCTAGTACTATAAATCGGCATCAGTCCAGACTAGTAAAAGCCACACACACACGTGCATGAACGTTGCTATATAAGTGCAATAATCTTGGACATGACGTTAAACCCCATTTCACCTCACCTCACTTATGTTAAAGAATGAGATTTACAAAAGTCATACAGAGCTAAGTTTGTGGAATGCATAATCAACGTGGGACTATACTATGGCCAACTGACTACACAAGTTTCCAATCTCATTAAAATGAAATATTCGTGATTGCTTTCGCTACACCAAAGATCTGTAAACATTCCATTAAATGACAAACAGGAAGTCGACATTAGCCAATCAGAAAGCAGCTTTCTTGAGCTTTACGGCAGTGGCTTCAAAACGATGACTTCCATTCCAGACTACAGTTTGAAAGTTAATTGATTGAAAATTTGAAAAAATGTAGGAAAGAAAATTCTGGAATGTCTAACAGATGGTGGAGATTGTATGGCAGTATTTCTCAAAGGTTATGGAAAGTCTCTTCCATTTCAAATGCTCTTCCAAATGTAGCAAGAGACTGATGATGTCTACTAGGGCTGGGACAAGTCCAAATTTACTACCCGATTACCTACCCACCTATTACCCGACCCTACCCGGGTACCAGCTGTAGGTCTCAAGAGACAGGTACAAAATGTCAGATTGGAAATAGTTTGACTGTAGCCCTGTACAAAATGTATTTAGGTACACATATAAAATGATCTGGTGATGCATACAATGAAGTTGACTGAAGTTTTATCTTTATTCAAACATATAAAAGTCTGGGTTCATTATAAAAGTCAGAAAGAAATGCAAACATTAGTGACTTGTAGTGTAACCATATAGTTCAAGACCCTTTTTGTCATTAAACAACATATCACATGACCAACCACGGGTCCGGGTAGTTCCGTGGGTACCTGGATCCTTCTCAGTACCCTACCGACCCGAGTACCCGAGTTACCCGTCCCAGCCCTAATGTCTAGCATTCAAAATCAGTAGTACATTAAGCCCAGGGTTAACCATTTTGAGGTTCCATGGTCAGAAACCACATTCAGACTTTCACTTTACGATTTCATTCACTCGGATTGGTTGGTTGAAAGGTTGTTCTTTCTTGACCTGTAATGGCATTGCATTGCTAAAAGTGACATAAAAAATCTTCTCTCAGTTTCCTGAAATTGTGGTGTGTAAAATATACTAACTTTGAAACTTTAAAAAACACAACTGTTATCATTAGAATTTCATACCTTGCTGTCTTGATTCACACCATCTTTGATAAGCTCGGCACAATACAAAGTAGGGCTTTTCGTAATTTGGAAATATATCCCCATTGTCAACATGTGATCCAGTGTACAGGGACAAAGAGGTAACACTGCAGCCCGCTGAACAAATGTTGACTTCAGTGGGTAGTTTCTGATGTACCATTCCCGGCACTGTCGAGATGATGGGTTTGTCTCGGCAACCATACCAGTCTTGAATAACCAAACACCATTCTGACCTAGAAATGTATGATGAATATGACGAGAGTATTTTTTGGTTAGGTATCCATTAGGGCAGCAGATGACAAGGACATACCCCAAGTATAGACGAAACTGACAGCTTTACAATCGAAACCGTTCCATAGCCAAGTTAGTAAAACCAAGATCCTGATTGGTAGAAATTGTATATATTAGATCTGTGTCATTGAATTGATGATAAATTGTATGTATATCATGTGTATATGTTATGAAAGAGGCACTTGAGTTTTTTCTTTTATTCATGCGTTGAACATTCAACACCTCAGATATGAGGTGGGCGTGGCCAAATGCAAATGTCCGATTGGCAAAAAAATATTTCCGGATCCCTACATTCAATATAACTCCATAAACAAAAACATATATTGAAGTCAGTTCTTATAAATAAATATGTCAACTATAGTAACTTCACACTTCTATTCATTAACACAAATATAACTTTAGACAAAGATACAAAGTCCTGACATCATTCTGTGCAATAATGCAACACAAACCTTGCTCAGTCCATAATCAGTCAATACCAAAACAGCATTCCATTCGTAAATCATGGCCTAATTTGTTTTAGGCTTATACAAACATAAACACAAAAAGAATTGCTTGGTTAGGCAATGAAATGCCACAGTATCACTTGCAATTTATTTATTCTGAAATGGAGAAATCATGAGCATTTGTTTATTGTACTTCTGGAATCAATTTAACAGATTTTAGGATTTCTCCGACTTAAACCAAGTCATAGTTGATACATAATTTCTCTATAATTTTGCATCATGACCTGCTATAAATCATGAAATTAAACCAAATCGAGTGTCGACCCCTGTCTAAAATGTGTGATGAAACTAATGCAAGTAGCCCTGCCATTGAGATAGATCGGGTCCGTGATGAAGATTGTACAGGTGTCCTATGAGTTGTTATAGGACTTAGATCCTTTGATTACAGACAAGAGTGTTACGTATTCATGACTGCTTTTGCTTTATCTGACAAGTTCACAAAGTAGGTTGGCAGTTTCTAAAAAGAATTCATGAGTCATTAGATTACCTCAACAAAGACGCTTTTCAACTTGTGTAAACCGACGACCCTTTGTACGGAACTTGATAAGGAGTACTGTTGAATTCTAGCACTCAGTCGTATTGTTTATTGTGAGCTTTGTTATATATCATTGTTGGCAGCCATATATCATTGAATCTGGCACGACAATATACTCCAATATGTCCAGAAAAATATGTGTCACCATATTTATGCAAGCAAGGGGCATTTCCATTTTTCACATTCATTTCATGCTCGCAATAATATGATGATATACAGTGTATAGCTGTGTCAGTTTTATTTGATTAAAATGCATGTTCTGAAAGGACAGTAAATTCCTGTATTGGAATCAACTGCAGCAACAACAGAGTAACATCATCGTCATGGTTATACTTAGGGCTCATGCTACCAGCTGTTTGCTTGGTGCAAAGGGCAGTCAGGACACTGGAATATTATTTACTGTTGTTTAAACTTCATAAACTCACTGCTCTCAAACTAAAATGGTTGGTATAAGTTACTGTGTGGTTACCATGGAAACATTATGAAATATTTGCCTTCTGTTTTTAAATTTAAAAAATGTTACAATACATTACGACAATAATTTGATGGATCTATTTTGAGCCTTTTCCTGTGCTGAGAGTGCCCTTTCACTTAATTCTCACATGACACTGCTTAGTGTAATATTAAACAAGAAAACAGCGCTATCACTATCCCCATGTGGCACATTAGAATTTTGTTTGTTCATATATCATGGATATAAACTATAAAAAAAGACTCCAGTTCAGCCTTGTTAAGAGATAGGGTCACGTTATGTCATCAGAAAAAAATGATTAAACAAGAAAAATTAATACACACAAAATGCCCCTTATCTGGCAAAAATAATTTATGGCACCAATTCTCGAACTCAGTCTTGACATGTTTTTCTTAGATAAGCTAACTTTAGTAGTTTCTGAGAAAACTTGTCCCCCATTGCAGACACTATGCACTTAGTTGATAAGCATGGAGCAAAGGCCATAACTCTGTAAAAAAATAATACAGCACCAATTTTCGAACTCAGTCTTGACAAGTATCTCTCATAAGCATGCAAACATTTCATTCATGTAACTTCAGTAGTTTCTGAGAAAACGACCCCATTTTACACAGTATGCATTTTGTTGAAAAGCATGGAGCAACGGCCATAACTCTGTACAAAATAGATTTAAGACACCAATTTTCAAACTCATTTAAGATCATGACCAGTTATATTTGTGTGTAAAATTTCATTTCTCTAACTTAAATAGCTTTTGGAGAAAATGTGTCCCAGAACAGATGCCCCACTTTGAGGCAGGAGATACAACTGTGTCGGGGGACACGGGTGGCCCAGTTGTCTAAGGCCCCGAGATTCGCTGTGCAGAGTTGCGTCCCTTGGGCACGCCAGAAACCTATGATTGTGGGTTCAAATCCCGGTTCGCCCTGATTATGTTTCTAGGTTTGTCGGCACCATACCCGTGCTCGTGGGTTTCACTGAAGTGGTAAACGTCTGAGACCTGCATCACTCCAGGCTTTCCTCCCACATTAAGCTGACATGCCGCGATATAACTGCAATACTGTTAAAGCGGCGTTAAACCATACTTACTCACTCACTACAACTGTGTCGTATCATATGATGAGTAAACTAACATTGTCTGAGATCATATCTTCTGGTTAAGTATGTGGTGCAGCCAGTTTATCTGTTAATTCTTAACTGCAGCCTGCACAAGGAGAACAAAAAAACTCTGCTCTCTGTAATCTGATCTTGCTTATATGGCCATTTTATCCTCAGTTACCTGTGTTTCCCAGAACCATGTCCATCTGTGTGGGCTGTGAAGCAAGTGATCCTGTAGTCCGGGAGAAGGCATTGAGGGGGTTGACTCCTGTCGTGGGTTGAAACCCCAGCACCGACAGCTGTCTCTCATTCGCTACCCACTGCATGTCACCGTAGAAGATCTGCCAGTAGGACTCCACACCGTCGGTACTCAGCACTGCCTGGAACGTGTTCCTCTGTCAACACAACCTACCATGTAAGTCCAGGTAGAAACATTTTTTAACACACATTTATTAATTAACATGGCAAGACCAACTTTTATCTCGTGTGACAGGTAAGCCTACAAGATTTTTTCAAACTTTCAACAAGAAATGTGACCCACTAGGGGAAAAGGGACCTCATGAGAGCAAGGATACAATTGTGTTATAATGTCAAAAAGACGTTTGACGTCAACTTACTTCAGTGAAGATACCATGTGTGATGTCATGTATCTCTGAAATAAATATGAATTGAAGCTTGTGAATAATATTTTTCTGCTCCAAAGGATGATGTAGTTTTAAAATATAATGAAAAGGCAAACTGTGATTTTTCACCCATAAGGTCCCTTTTCTCATGGTTGGTCACAAAGTTTGTGAGTATTGTTCTGGAAGCATTATCCATGGTGGCCATGTTTAAGATCAGATTCAAATTCTGTGAGCACTTCTTGTGACACAACAGCTGGGATCACACATACAAAGTTTCTGCTTAATAGGTCTTGCAGTTTCAGAGTCAAGTCAGTTAATGACAGATAACCTCCCACAATTTAAGCTCACTTGACTTCAGTCAGGTGAGCTAAAATTCAAAACATCATTCATTCATCAGGCTAATCAACGAGCCTGTGCTTGCCTCTGGATTAGGCATGGTCTGGCCAGTGGAATCAAAGTCTGGGAGGCCGTCCCAGGTGACAACTGCCGCCCATGATGCCACGTAATCCGAGTTGGCTGTGTGTGTCCGCACCTCTGTCGTTGCCCTCTCCAAGATGGGTATAGCTACAAACAGAGCATACATCAATCATCATAGACACATATAATTTAATTAACTCAGGCCAACATCAAAATACATTCTCTTTCTGTCTTGAGTGATTTTTTATTAAGACTTTTGGTGGATTGTAAACTTTCAAATAAAATTAGTTTAGAAAGTTACTTAATATGTAAAAGAGTTAATATGTAACAAAATTAAACAAAATGAGTGGGTGAGTTTGGGTTTAATACCAATGCAAATAGTCTTTCAGTTCTTTCACAGTCTGTCATAAAGAAAAGCCAAGAGAGATCCAGGCCCAATTTGTTGAGCTTATTAGGTGAGGTGAGGTGAAAATTATTGCACTAATACGGCAACATGCATACACCATAGTGTTTGTCTGCTTGTACTGGTCCGGACTAAATGCTGATATATAGTGCGAGACCACACCATGATGCAGCTTTACATAGGGACCCCACTCAGACACATTATTCTGACTCTGTGCCGATCAGTCCTTTAGCTTGATTTATCCCAGTAATGCAGAGCACCAGGCAGGGTAACAACAAGTTCCACCTCTTTACGACCTTCCCCTCTCTGGGCAGATGCTCTACCTACTAGACTGCAGAGGATGTCCGACTTAGTGAAACCAAGGAGCACACTCAGGATGATGCTGACAGGATTATCATTTAGGCAAATCTGTACAATGTGTTTCATTATTACAATTTGAGCGAACTGAGGTTAACACATTTCTGACAACCAGGGCTGACTAGATTTAACGTAAGTTCACCACTGTTTATCAAGCATAACTTATAGTCTGGAAGGTAATTTAAGGTACCGAAGTTTACTACAAAATCTGAAAAACTATCGGACCTACTCCAGTCAAAGTTGGTATGAGATTATTAAAGTCATACATAACTGGATATTACATTTAAAGACAATCAGGCATGAATAAAAAATCTGTCTATTTAGCTATCACTATATTTCATCAACAACCAGACCTGTTCGTCACGGGTGGAACGAGCATGCTAAGGGATGTAACTCTGCACAGCAAGTTGAAGCACCTCGGACCAAATGGCCATTTGACAAATGGTAACTTAAATAGCTTCAGAAGCCAAAAGAGTAGCTAACATCAATAACAAATAGCAAATGTTCCTTCAACTTGGCCTCAAGAATGTGTGTGTGTGTGTGTGTGTGTGTGTGTGTGTGTGTGTGTGTGTGTGTGCGTGTGCGTATTACACTCAAGTGCCCACTATACACACGGAAATACAGTATTTAATAAGCCATTCTCTCAAAAAGAAAATGACAACAAAGACAATATTTAATTATAGTGAGATTTAACCCCTTACAGCTGTACAATTCCATGAATTCAGTTTGATCCTGAAGTTATTTCTTAATTTTAATGCTTTGAACAAAAGACATTATCCAAAAGACATTAACCATATGATATGTTGTTGTGCGGCAAGAAAACACTTTTCCGTCTCTTATTAAGTTGATATGACAAAAGACATACACTCAGCTTTTCCAAGAGGGTAAGTCTGGTAGAACACATTGGCAGAACTTCTTGTGTTCCGGAGATCCCCATCAGCGCAGTATGCACACAGTATGGGTGATATGGCATTCACAATGTCCGTTAACGTGTTTGGGTTGTAGGGTGTGCCGAAACTCACGCCACCGTTGTCACCTACCTGAATACAAGATGAATATGGGTGAGTGAGGGAGTTTGATTAAACCACTTCAATAATTAATGCATTTATGTTTCATCAAAATCTAGAGATTATGGCGGGACTCTAATCCATGGCATATTTTCATTGTTCTATGACGTCATGTTTATTATGATAAGTTATGTATGATGTATTATCCGTGAACGGACAATCAGTTCAATTGTTACATGTCATGCTTGAGATGATGTCAAGACTCCTTGCCTCTGATGACGTCATGTATATTTAACCTCCATTACCAACAGACACAGTGATCAGTCGAAACGATGGAGCCAGACACTATAGAAAATGAAGGTTTTCTTATGGGGATTCATGCCGGCAGATCAATTTTAAATGATTTTTCCAAAATCCAAGAAGTTCCTCTTATAAAGGCTCCAAATTTGAAGTTGGCAAGCATGAATATAGTCAGGATTTTATCATCTCTTGCAAATGAAAGGATGGTGCGGAAAGTTTTAGAAAGTTATTTCTACAATGAAACTTCGGGGCACCTTTATAAGATAAGTACCGATATGCAATCCCTACACTGACCATGCTGTTCCAAAGGGGAAATGATAAAAATAATCCAGAGAAATCACAACCTTGATCATCGAAAGTCTGCCATTATATATGAATCCATACAACATTTAGTGCAATAGAAACTGCGAAGTTTTAATATAATAATCTGCCATAGATATGAATATACACTAGTATCTACCCCATATACGGAATCTGCAATAGATCGGAGTATACGCCAATATCCCCCCTTATTGTGGAATCTGCCACAGATATGGGAATCCGCCATGGATCAGGGTCCGACCATAGACCTGAGCCCTACAGATACATTCATACAAATAAAAAGGGATTGCAGGATCATTAATTGTGTTTTCTTCACATGAAAATTGTCTACAATTATGTCATACACACTGATACAGTATACTGACTCTGAGCCAACCAGTCCTTGTTTTAGCCCTTAATGCCGTGCACCAGGCAGGGTAACAACAAGTTCCATCTTTTTAACATCTTTTGGAATGATGAGGCCAGGGATCGAACCACCGACCATCCACTCTATCCACTAGACCATGGAGGAGGTCCTTGAACCAAACAATGACAAGGTGAGCTGCAAAAAGCTAATATTTAAGTCCCCTTTCTGAGAAACATCAAAACAACTTACAGCCAAGGTTGTCTGAGTGGTTGCACCAAGAGGAAATCCTGTGTCAATCGGGAGGAGGCTGGAGACGACATCGAATGAGATTGGGAGGAGTTTAGGAAGTTTGTCATCACACACGGAGAACCCCCAGGGGAACAACTCTGTGGAGGAAACAATCCCATGCAAATACTTACACAGTGTATCTAACCAGTGTATACCATTACTGATGTAGTTACAGCCACAGGCCATCATATCCACAGCCTGGGATTTTACCCAAGTCGCAGTCTTCATATATGTTTTGAGCATTTTGTTTTCTTGTTTGTTTGTTAATGTCACGCTCAGCAATATTTTACCTATCTGAAGAGGTCTGTTCATGTATTGAGTCTGGACCAGATAATCCAGTAACTGACATCATGAGCATCAATCTATGCAATTAGGATATGATATGAAACATGAACCAAGTCAGATCACCCAATCCCGTTTTTCGGCTCTTACGACAAGCATAGGTTGCTGAAGCCCAATTCTATCACTGGGGGCTTAATATATGGTTATTTACACTATTGAAAGTGATGAGTGTTAAAAATATGAACTATATATTTAAAATTTGTCATTGAGTCATGGGCATGAGCAGGGCCCCGATCCACAAAGCGATCGTAGCGCCAAGACGATCGTAACTCTCGTACTTTAACATAGACTTACGACAGCCGCAGCATTACGATGGCTTTGTGGAATGGAGCCCAGTCCCATTATATGTTATACTCCAACAGACAACAATTGACACACATGATAACTTCTAGTCTGTCATACAGACCCTGGAACAAATATATCCAATACAGCCCATTCAAGTCTATAATGTTAGGCAAGTCTAGATTACTGCAGAAAATGAAGAAAGTCTCTGGGCTCCTCTTTATTACATTTTATAACTATAATTTAACAACTGTTTTTTTCTGTAAAATATGTTCATTTCAGAGAGTAGATGTTAGTCTAGATGACTTCCAGAAACTGGAAATGTGAATTCTTATAGCCTCATGTGTTGGCTTCAAAATGTGAACATACCCGAGCTAGAAGCTGTTGAAACTGAAATAAAGAAAGTCATATTGTTAAATAGTTTAAGGCCAGACCTATTATTTGTTTTGCATTACGGATCCACAGAACTGATTTACTGTGATTTCAACAAATAAATAATAAAAAATGAAGATTTTTAATACCCTATACCTTGTTACTTCAGCACTTAATTATAAGAAGGACAGACACATTAACATCATTCTGCCACACATACCTTCTTCGTAACAAGGGTGAAAATATATAAATTATTTATCTACAATAAAATAATTCCTCAAATAGGTTTAGTGTTTTGTTGGTAATTCCGGATGTAGGTGTCTTCTGTCTCTCCGATGTAACTGAATACTCACAAGATCTGTAAGAGAAACAGACACATGTTACTATATTACAAATATTTCTACAAGCGACATAAAACAAAACTCAACCAGACACTCTTTTAGAGTTTACACAAACAGGAATTGAACCGTTTTCTTAATCATATATACATGATAAGTGAGGTATAGTCCAACACATGTTTTTACCACACTCTAAAGTAACAACAGGTTGGGTCACGGACATCAACAGAGACATAGCACAACTGGTTGGGTCACAGGCATTGAAAGAAAAAGGGATATGATACTATGGTTTGTTTTACCACATGCTAGCGTAACAAGTAAGACGTGATGACCCACCCACAGCTGTAGAGTCCGTCCACTCCTAGGGCACAGGGCCTAGTTGCTGGGCACACAAAACAGACGGCTGGCCCTGAAGAAGTACACAAGTGTTGGGAACTAATTAAAGATTCATGGATCATGGATGAGATTATCATTACCCATAAGTCCGCCCATCTGGTTAGCCAGCTTGTAAAACCCAAGGAAGTTGGCCTGCCTGCCTGTAAGCTAGCCCTGTCTCTCCTATCACAAGTCGACAACTCGCATAGGGAGCCATGGACCAGCTTAGCCTGCCTGTACAGACATCATGATGTCTTTGTGTTTCATATGACATCACACGGTTTTACTTGACTTCAAAACTGGGAGTCTATGTCGTTAAAATCCTGCATCATCTGCTTCTGATGACATAATTAACCCTGGGTGCCATTGAATAAAGCGATCTTAGCGTGTACAATGGCAAGCTGGTCACATAGTTACCATACTGAACCCATTCGTAAGAGGGAAGCGGCAGTGGGGTAGCCTTGTGGCTAAAGCATTCACTCATCACGCAGAAGGCCTGGGTTCGATTCCCCACATGGGCACTCATTTCTCGTGTGCTCTGCCATGATATTGCTGTTATATTGCTAAAAGCGGAGTAAAACCATACTCAATCAAGTTGTAAGGCAGATCTGCTGTCGTCACACAGACTCATTGGTATTTCACCAAATATAAGTTTCTCTCCTTGTGTACACGTAATGATAAATCTGTTCCATGTGTTGCTAGCATTGACTACCTCTACGAGCAACAAAATTCCTTGAAACCATATGTTTATGTTGAGCCTTTTTCAAGGTATGGGTCGGAAACAAACCTCAATCATTTGTGACTTAGTCAAAATTGTTAGCATGGAAACATAAACAAATAAAATTTAGAAAAATTCAAAATAGCAAAAGGCACAAGTTAAGCTGATGAGCAATGCACATGCCAAACTGTGCTGAAAAACATTTAATAGTTGTCAAGTTATGGCTCGGGATAGGACAGGACCCTGACGCCAAGGCCAACGTCAATGACAATTGGAACTAAGCCAACCACAGTATGTTTCCCCTCCCTTTGGTGGGGGAGACATAATCATTATCCTAAAATACAATACCACATATCAATTTATCAATCTTTACCATGTTCAAGATTCAAAGAAGATTTATTTAATTACCTTCATAAACTGTCAGTGTAGATGGTATTGATAATGCAGTTTCGATAATACAACAAACAATTCATGTGTCAAAAACTAGTATTCTGCAGGCTCACTTTCCGTTCCTGCAGCGTTGAAGACGGTGGGGTCTGTGGTGATGGGTGCAGATGCCGGTCCTAAAGCTGCCAACATCCCCTCCTGGAGAACGTACTTCTTCAACGCATAGGCCACCAGCACCCGGTCATCTCGGTCAATGAACTGGACAGTGTGGGTCACCTGCACCTTGCCTCCGTTGTCCCTGCAGTGAGAGGGATAGCCTAGTGGAGTAGTGGTTAAAGTGTTCACTCGTCACACCAACAGCCTGGGTTTGATTCCCCACATAGTGTGTGAGGAATGTTGTACTCCAAAGCTAAAACCATTCCACTTTAGCCTGTAAAACTCGACACTGGGCCAGGCAAACCAGTGTTTGTAAGCATACCTTTTTAATTTCTTGTTTTCTAAATTTCAGAGGTATCTTACCATGATATTCAATGCAAATGTGTAAAACTAAACTATTTTTGGAAGAGAATTTATGGATGTCAACTTCTTTATTATGAGGAACAAAACGTTTCAGTGTTTTTGCTTACTCCTCCATCAGGTGAATGATGAAGGAGTAAGAATATACTCCGAAACATTGTGTTCCTCATAATAAAGAAGTTGACATCCGTAAATTCTCTTCCTTATGTGTATCACTTCTAAATGGCTTTCAGAGGCTTAAACCATTTTCTCTTTATTGGTCCTTTATTTGTAAAATATAAGCCATCTTGACCAAGCCATCACAGAAGTTTATGACACATTAACATCAGAAGTTATAACTACATTAACTTCAGAAGTTATAACAACATTAACATCAGAAGTTATAACTACATTAACTTCAGAAGTTATAACAACATTAACATCAGAAGTTATAACTACATTAACAGCAGAAGTTATAACAACATTAACAGCAGAAGTTATAACAACATTAACAGCAGAAGTTATACCTACATTAACATAAGAAGTTATAACAACATTAACATCAGAAGTTATAACTATATTAACATCAGAAGTTATACTACATTAACATCAGAAGTTATACCTATATTAACATCAGAAGTTATAACTACATTAACATCAGAAGTTATAACTACATTAACATCAGAAGTTATACTACATTAACATCAGAAGGTATACAACATTAACATCAGAAGTTATACAACATTAACATTAGAAGGTATACGACATTAACATCAGAAGTTATACTACATTAACATCAGAAGTTATACTACATTAACATCAGAAGGTATACGACATTAACAGCAGAAGTTATACGACATTAACATCAGAAGTTATAACAACATTAACATCAGAAGTTAAAACAACATTAACATCAGAAGTTATAACTACATTAACTTCAGAAGTTATAACAACATTAACATCAGAAGTTATACTACATTAACAGCAGAAGTTATAACAACATTAACATCAGAAGTTATAACTACATTAACATCAGAAGTTATAACAACATTAACATCAGAAGTTATACTACATTAACATCAGAAGTTATAACAACATTAACATCAGAAGTTATACTACATTAACATCAGAAGTTATAACAACATTAACATCAGAAGTTATAACTACATTAACTTCAGAAGTTATAACAACATTAACATCAGAAGTTATAACTACATTAACATCAGAAGTTATAACTATATTAATATCAGAAGTTATAACAACATTAACATCAGAAGTTATAACTACATTAACATCAGAAGTTATAACAACATTAACATCAGAAGTTATAACAACATTAACAGCAGAACTTATAACCTATATTAACATCAGAAGTTATCCAACATTAACATCAGAAGTTATAACAACATTAACATCAGAAGTTATAACTACATTAACATCAGATGGAAAAGCTTTAATTCCCATTTGGGAATTTTTACCCCATTTGCTGTAGACTTGGGCCCAAATATCGGCCTTTGACTGAGTCTATAAAATTCATGAAAAGATTTTTTTTTTTACTCTTCTACAGTGTGTCATTTATGAAAATCAGACATGTATGCAACTAAAAAAATGTTAAGGACCACCCATAGTACCCATAATTCATAGTACTTTAGTATTTCTATAGTTAATCTAACATGCCATGGTCCTTAACCGTTTTTTAGTAGAATCCAAGTGAAATCCATGAGCACAAACCAACAATCATAATCAGGGCAAAGTTGGGATTCAAACTCACGATCACCGGATTCTGGCATGACTAAGGGACACAACACTGCAAAGCAAATTGCTGCACCTTAGTCAAGGGACTGGACTTCCCAACAGTCATTGTTAGAGTCAGTCTGTCCATCTCTACAAGTCAACAAACTTACATTATGGCTGCCGATACGCCAAGGAATGCCAAATCAGCTTGAAGGTACTTTTGCAACAGCTGAAATTAAAATGGAGATTGGTAATGAAAATAATGTCATCAGAGTGACTCGCTTGGGCCAGTCAGTGAAGGATGCAGTGTCTGTTTTTAGTTAATGGTAATGTTTATGACCTATATTTGATAGGCATGCTCGCATCTATGTCCATCAGATACAATTTGTTTGTTGTTTAACGCCGTACACAGCAATATTCCAGCTATTTGACGGCTGTCTGTAAATAATCAAGACTGGTGCATCGATCAACGCAATTTGTGACACGCAACCAACCACGCTACAAAGTTTAAGTCATGGTCAAAGGTAGACAATTCAATAGATTTTATTCCAGGTGGTAAAGTTTGTGGTCAAAGGGGAGTAACTGTGACCCTGTCTGGGTAAAAGGGCCAAATTTGGCGACAGGCACCCTGCTCTTCGCTTCCAAAAGGCTGCACAAAGTGATTGACATCAGGAACTTCGATCTACGCAATTCGGACATGATGACATTCATCAACCAAGTCAGCGAGCCTGACCACCCGACCCCATTAGTCGTCTCTTAAAACAAGCATAGTCGCCTTTTATGGCAAGCATGGGTTGCTGAAGACCTATTCTACCCCGGATCTTCACGGGAATCTGAAACAACTGAGTTACACACATAGGCTCTTTTCAGCAAATCAGTGAATGCTACTTGTAGAATTTCATATTTTGTTGCTTTGAAATATTTCATTACTTTTGTAGTTATATTTTCAGGACAAGTTTTAATTTGCCCAATGGGGTGTTTCAACACACACATACATTGAGTATGCTGGAACAGTCTAATGTCGACATTGTTTTAGGCTAAAAAAAATTTAAAGAGGCGTTATTTCTGTGTGTATTCACTGCAAAAGTGTGTCCCTGCCATAACTGTGTCATGAAGAATACTTAACAGTGCTAGTCTTGTGAATTTGTTTTGCTTATTCACTCAAAATGTTAAAATTGTTCCATCTATACCCAGTCTCCCCGATCCTGTGGGGGAAGACATGGGTCTGAACCTTGAGTGACTGGGTGAACACAAATGTTTGCTCACCGCTACCTCCGCAGCTGACTTGAGGGCGGAGTAGTCGGCTAGTGGGTCATACGCCAGGTCCAGTGTCACAGTCGCCGTCACTGAAATAAACACAATTAACACTTTCAAAGCATTAAGTCATGGTAAATAAAACAAGGTGCATCCGATAGACATGTCAATAAGATCATATTTACTTCCTATGACCCTGGTTAGAATACATCCCCAGCAATCTATAATACTAGAAAGAGATGAGGAAATTAAAATAGGTTTCTGAGGCTTGACGGGACACTGCTCATATCAAACAAGTTATCAACAACTGGTTTGTCTAGATCATCCACGTTTAGTTATAAGCTGGTGTGATAGAGCTGGAATATTGCTGGAATAGAGCTGGAAAATTACTGGAATAGAGCTGGAATATTGCTGGAATAGAGCTGGAATAGAAGTCGAATATTGCTGAAACAGAGCTAGAATATTGCTGGTATATTGCTGGAATATAACTGGAATACAAATCAAAATGGAGCTGGAATACAGCTGGAATACAGCTGAAATAGAGCTGGAATATTGCTGGAATACAGCTGAATTAGAGCTGGAATATTGCTGGAATACAGCTGGAATATTGCTGGAATGGTGGAACTGTGAACCTGCTGTTTCTTGTGGTGTTTTTCCCTAAACAACCCAAGCTTGCCTAGAAGGTTAAGTCACATTACCATCTCATCCTACCGGGTACCCATTCACTGCTGGGTGAACAGAGGCATATTTTGAACAAAGTCACTTGTCTAAGATGATACCATATGTAACATGTGCTTCAGTGTGGGTCAGAACAGAAGCCCCAAAACCTCAGTCACCTATCCACATACTCTCTGCTTTGCTTCACCTGGTTGTGACCTGTGCACTGTACACAAGACCATGTGTCACCACATATGAATCTATTATTGCCTACACCCATGCTGGAATTCCTCTTTCATTTTAGTCCACATCAAATATAACACAAGACAAACGACTTAAAGGGGAAGTGTACACGCAAAAATCACTTTCTTTCTTTTTCTAAACAAAACGCAATTTTAGAATAAATTAGTATCTGTGTTTGAAAATATACAATCATTTTTTTTCACAGTGAAAGTAGGAAGCTCACAATAGTGTGAAAATGATATGCCGTTATGAGGCCTTCGTTTTTCGAGCTAAACAGGCCTGAGTTATCCCCCTTAGATTATGACTTAATTGGTGCCAATTCAACTGGGTCCCTGTCTATTCTCAACGCAAAAGATATCAAGTACCAGTTTGCGGTAAAACAACATGGCCTACGACACACTCCGGCGCAGTGGTGACTCAGCATAACACTATGCTGGCTGGCATCTGAGACGCTAGAATCACACACCTAGACCTACACCACGTGAAGCGGCTCTAACAAAGCATGATGACGTCATAATGTTTATCAATTGGCACCAATGACGTCATATTGCAAGGGGCATAAGCCATGGTGTTTTTGTTGTGGAAATAGAACACTTGGTAAATGTGAAAAATATAAATCGTTTTAATGCGAAAAATATGTTGATTAATTGTGATATTTTTATATTTTTGTCTATGACACTTCTAGGTTAACACTTTTAATGTGGAAAAAGTACAAGAAAAATAGGTTCATTTCCGTGTGAACTTGCCCTTTAAGTGATATTGCATATATAGCACTCCTATCATTGATATTAATGGATTCCCAAACGTCTTGAAAGAATATTTAAATCTATGCCATTTGTGAATTATGAAAATCTGAAATTACATACTGACAAACACAAACACACACACACACACACACACACACATATATATATATATATACGTACACCATTCTCTTTCCATCACCAGTGGCATCCTTTAGTTATGATTAAATTTGGTCATTCTAACACCTTAATCAAAGGGGCAAAGTTTTGCTTCGTGCTGATTTTCGTGTGGAGGTACATGTTTTCATTGTTCATTGTTTGAAAACCACCGATAGCACTGTGGCCTCATATCATCACACCGTGTTAATTAATCACGGTTTTAATGTGATCTCATTCTACAATTTGTTAGAAATGACCATGATTGACATATAAAATAACCTGCTGCCACGTCGGATTCATAAATCCTATTATCTGAAACAAGTATTCTTGCTATACTGATTTGGAACGCTTCTGGAACCGGAAATGACGTCATATCGCAGTTATCAACTTTTCAAAATCGAGGAGCAAATGGGGAAATATACCCTATACTCTTCATGTGTTAGTGAATCTCTTCAAAATTTAGGTCACGTGAAGTTGAAACAAACCTATATTTGCCGGCGTCCCCGATCCTTCGTCGGGGTCGACAACTACTTGTCGTCTCTCTCTGGAGAGGCTCTCTCGGCCAATAGGAATTAGCAAATCATCCTCCAAGTTGAATTCTTTTAACGTTCTCTTCATTGGACGAACACTACGACCAGTAGGCGGCGCGTTATTTGTCGTATGCAACTTTGGGCGATGTCGCGTGGTGTTAAACGGAGGTGACACTCGCAATAGAAGTTCTTGTTCCAGTAAATCGTCAATAGATTCATTTTCGAGGCCACTGACTGAAAAATAAAAACGTAATTTGGAAAAAAACATGGAAACTAAATTATTTATGGTCATTCCAGTATCAGCTTTTCCCGGCTCTCGCGATGTCCTCAAAGATAGGTATAGTTGAACCACAGTCACATAGACTTACTTAAACTGGGCTATAATTTGTTTTCCGAAACTGTATTCCCCAACCTACTGGCCGAAAATAAATAGCCTTGACATTAAAGACATGATGACTGCAAAATTCTGTATTCTGAAGGTCAGGTTAGGGACTGAAAATATATTATAGAGATCGATGTATGTCAAATTTGACAAGATTGTAAAGACATGATTTGAAAAAGAGCGAACAATACTTAGTATTGGGAATTTCAAGAGAAAAAAAAAGCAGATGGCCCTGAAAGGCTTCCGTAAAAACAGATCTGACATTTTTGTCACGCGCCCCCATCTTTCGCTGTCATTTTTCTCCCCTATAAAAAATGACCGGTTCCTTATCAAACCTTTCACTGCCGAATTTTGTTTTAAACTGAAATTGATTTAAATAGTATTCTATGTTTTACCCCTTTGTACATGTAGAGGAAGGACCGCCTCCGTGGTCTAGTGGTAGAAAGTCCGCCCGGAGAGCGGAAGGTCCGGGGTTCAATCCCGTGCTGCGTCATACCAAAAAGACGTTAAAAGATGGTACTCTCTCTGATCGACTCGGAGTCAGTATAGTGTGTCTGAGTGGGGTATTCACGTTACAACTGCGGCATGGTATCTCAGTGATCTAGCACTATAAATCGGCATCAGTCCGGGCTTGTACAAGCAGCCACAAACGCGTGCATGCACGTCGCTATACAAGTAATCTTGGACGCGACATTAAACCCCATTTCGCCTCATCTTCACATGTAGGGAAATACGTTAAAATAATACTGACCCATCTTGACCACTGGAGGAGATGTAGTTACCAGCACCGCGACAGCAGTGACGACAACATAGGTCAGTAACCAGGAAGTTCCTGCAAATAAAAGTACATCTGATCGACGGAAATTTTAGAACAACAGGAATTCAGGCACTTCAGAGTCGGATCCGAGATGTCGAAAAGGCAGGGTCGGTGACTATACTCCAGTCACCAAGGGAACAAAAGCGCATAACATGTTGGCATGGCATGGCATGATCTTAGACATGTACGAGCACAAAGCGACCGTTGCCCTACGACGATCGTCACTAGCATACAGTAACATAGACACTTATGATAGTCGTAGCGCTGAGAGCACTTTGTGCATGTGGCCCCAGTTAAATTAGGACCTCTTCGTCCCGTTTACAACAACAAGTGGGTATTCTGTCATTTGGCACATCAAACCCTACGTAATATTGAAGGAAGGGGTCTTGATGACGCACGGCAGGAAGTAGATCTCTATAGCAGCGTCACCGTGACTCACATCAGTAATGTGAATCATCACAGAGGTGCTATCTATCCCCATCCCACCCCCGTAATTCTTCAAGCATTGTTCCTAAGGTAAAGCCTTCCACTAACACGTCTCGCTTTAAGTCAGACAAACAGGTACTGCGCAATGTCTGCAAAACTGACAAAGATGTTCCCATGGCACCGAAAACATTCCTAAGACTCGAGAAACAGGGTCTTGGTGACGCACAGTGAATAGATCTGTATAGCAGCGTCACCGTGACTCAAATCAGTAATTCTTCAAGCACTGTTCGTAAGAGAAAGCCTTCCAGTACACGACTCGCTTAAATCTGGCAAATAGGAACTGGTTGATGTCTGCAAGAAAGATGAAAGATGTTCCCATGGCACAGAAAACATTCCTAAACCTTGAGAAGAGGCTACAGGAATATGATGAAATTCCCTTTATGGTTTTGTTTGTTTGTTGTTTAAAGCCGAACTCAATATTCCAGCTATATGACGGCGGTCTGTACATAATCGAGTCTGGACCAGTCAATCCAGTGATTGATATCATAAGCATCGATCTACGCACTTGGGATCGATGACATCAGCATCGACCCATGCGAGCCTGACCACCCGATCCCTTTAGTCGCCTCTTACGACAAGCATAGTCGCCTTTTACGGCAAGCATGGGTTGCTGAAGACCAATTCTACCCCGGATCTTCACGGGACTCCATTATGGAGTGTATCAGTGGATATATTGTATTATATTGTCACATGCCCTATATACAATATTTTATGAAACGATTCGTTTTTCTATTTGACAGGTTTAAATTAAAATTTAGTGCTTTATGAAATCTGTCAATTTAGATATATTGAATTCGGTCCATGTGTACATCCAACGTTCTGGTAGATTTGCACTAATGTGATAACTTAAGATTTAAGTCATACTTTAAGACACGTATTAAGTATTAAATAGTCTTGCTTTTATTAATGACGCCTTTCCATCAACCGCACCAAACTGTTGATCACGTGTTTTTGTTCTGCTTTAACATACATATACAAAACCAACATGTATCAATATTACTTGATAAATATAATTTTGTTTCTGTTACTCTGTACTGGAGCGGTATTAACATAAGTCAGACAATCGATTGTTTACCAATCCAGATTCAATTATTGAATATAAAAATATGTTTAAGTCGAAACACGCACCCATATGAGGCGGAGTATGTGTGGCCTCCAGTTTCAATGTGCTGTGTGTGCTGTTGTTTCAGAGTACATTGCGCACATGCATCAAATTAGGACGAGAGAGCCAGATCTCTGGAGGAGTTTGAGACTTCACAGTGAACACAATCTTTTGTTTCTTTGTTGTTTAGCGCAACACTCAGCTTGGTTGGTTTGTTGTTTAACGCCGCACTCAGCAGTATTCCAGCTATATGACGGCAGTCTGTAAATAATCGAGTCTAGACCAGACAATCCGGCGAATGGTATCATGAGCATCGATCTACGCACTTGGGGACGATGACATGCATCAACAAAGTCAGCAAGCCAGACCACCCGATCCCATTAGTCGCATCTTACGACAAGCATAGTCGCCTTTTGCGGCAAGCATGGGTTGCTGAAGATCTATTCTACCCCGGATCTTCACGGGGCGGAACACAAGCAACACTGCTCCGTTTACTTGTGTTTAAGAAGGTCGGGCCATGGGGCATCTGAAACATTATTTGGTGATGAAGATTTACTGACTCTCAGAATACTTCAATGCAATGACCGCAGATACTTGGAGCAGTGATGTGTTATTTCTCTTGAAGTTTTTGTTTGTTTATTGTTTAACGTAGGCATAGGCATGTTCGCATCTATGTCCATCAGATATAATTTGTTTTTTGTTTAACACAGCAATATTCCAGCTGTATGACGGCTGTCTGTAAATTATTCAAGACTGGTGCATCGATCTACGCAATTGAGATACAGTGACACGCAATCAACTACGCTAAAAAGTTTAAGTCATGGTCAAAGGGAGACAATTCAGTCGATTTTATTCCAGACGGTAAAGTTTGTGGTCAAAGGGGAGTAACTCATACTGTGACCCTGTCTGGCTGAAAGGGCCAAATTCGTAGACGGGTACCCTGTCCTTTGCTTCTAAGAGGCTTCACAAAGTTCGACGAAGAGCTCTAGGGCAAGAAAACCAGTCTACTACTTGCGGCACGTACAAACAGGAGAACCAGTTTACTTTAGTAATTCCAAACGGATGTACGTCCCTTCTAAAGCTCGTTGCAGGGTCAATATTTAAACTTCAGACATTGCATTGTACTATATCAAAGGGAAGTAACTGCGTTAAGAAAATAATCTGTGGTCAATGCGCATGTCCGAATTATGCCATGACGTCATTAAACCTTGCAGCAAGGGAGATAACCTGTCATTTCTAAGCTCTTTCTCAGTGCGTGAATAGACTATCGTTGTAAGGAGCTTGAATTTTCTTAAAGAACTCGCAAAATTCCATACGATGTGGGGAGTTTAATTTAACACACGGTAAGGAGCACATAAAAAGGACCTTACTCATATTTATTTTTAGCATATCATAACACGATTATCTCCCTTAGACCATTGCATCGATGGCGCGGCATGGCTTGCCGTTCCCTGTTAACTTCTATCTTGATTCATTTGATTGTTACTTGTGTTCGTCTTTGGGGATTAGGCGATGGCATTTCATGTCACACAAACAGACCTACACTAATTATCCTAAGCGTCTGATGCCTTGTTGCAAATATGATCATCTGTCAGAATAGCATTGTGGCACACTGATATCATAGAGGGAGCCTACGAGCTCCTCCCCTGAATATCGAATACCATCTAATTTTTCACTCTGAGTGTTATTGCACACCCTGAATTAACAAAATCTCAAAAGCATTGAAAAAAGGGTGCGATTTGAAACAAGATTACTGACAAAATATCGAAAAAATAAGATGTTATGTAGGAAACATTAACGAACACCATCATGTTTTTAAAATGTTGAATCTGCACACCAAATACGATTTAATTGCGTCTCGTTTACCACATTTCGGAGTCCCCAACATCCTATAAATAGACCCCCGAAATCCGCGTACCAAAAGGGATTGGCAGCCTCATCAAAGTTACCGATTTACCCCAAAACATTTTGGCACAAGACCCGTGAATTGGTAGAATAGGTCTTCAGCAACCCATACAAAGGCGACTATGTTTGTAGTAAGAGGAGACTGACGGGATCGGGTGGTCAGACTCGCTGACTTGGTTGAGGCATGGATTGATGCTCAGGATGTCAATCACTGGATAGTCTGGTCCATACTCGATTATTTCCAGACCGCGGTCATATAGCTGGAATATTGGTGAGTGCGGCGTTAAACAACAATCAAACAAATATTTTTGGAACAAGCCCATATTAGATATCACATTAGATTTAAACTTTGATTAAAATGAATGGTTTATAATGGCAAGTAATGTGCAAAGTACATGACGTATATTTTATGATTTACTGATAAAAAAACATGCAGCTAGGGCGTCTTTACTTATTTTTGTGTTTCTCGTCTCCTTAGTTTTCCCAGGTTTCCCGGGCGGTCGAAAAAAAGAAAAAAAAGGAACAAATAAACTGATGACCAATAGAAACTTTACTATAGTTTTTAAAAAAAATCACTCTCGTCTAAAAACCGCAAAAGACATACGCATGATGTAAAGAATATCTGGTGTGTTTTTTATCAGAGTGAGTCTCTGACATGCCGTCCCTATAATTTATATACTCTTATTTCACGCGTTGTTTCCACTGACCATGTAATTCACTTTTGCGCATTTTCTAAATAAAAAAAACGTGCAGTGGACGTGTATCACTTTCTGCAAAGAGCAACGTTGTGTTTGGACGATGTGTTTTGCATCGATTTAGTTTGGACTTATGTTTTTAAATTTCAGCAATTTCATTTTTAAAGTGGTAAAGTTTCTTTTGGCCGTCAGTGTAGGTTCCTTAATCAGAATACCTATTCAAGGCTTTGGCGTAGCGAGAATTAAGATCTGATTTTAATTAGATTGAGGCTTATGCGGTCCATACGAAATATTTGACAATTTAAACATATGTCTGGTCGACGTTTGAGAGCAAGATGAACTCGAAAACCGAAACTGAAACACATTGCGGAAACAGATTTATTAAAGAGGAAATCCCATGTAAATAAAAAAGAAACCATTATCATAAAGTCATATTGTAATTATAAAACATTCTTACCATTAACCTATTCAAGTCATAAAACTTTAGACACATTTTCGAATCAGTTCTTAATTTACTTTAATTTTAAGTTTAATATTGTAAATCTACGAACAAGGGAAAAACCTTCTACATAGGTTTACCTCAAGTTAGTTTCTTAAATACCTTTTATGTATTAAATTCGAATGACAGATGGACCTGATCTTGTATTTATAGCAAAGAAATGCAAAATATATATTTCTTTTTCTAAAAATCATTCGTACCCTTAATTCCTACAATATTTATATGGATATATTATCAATTTTTTATGAACATCTACAGTCTACTTAATAACAAAATACATCAAACAGATGTCAAGGAAATTCGAAAAAATATTTAATATTACAAGTTT